TAAAACTTTAGGGTTTGTATATGTAATGTTTGCATATAAAATATGATTAAAGGTTACCAGTGTATTTACACTTTTACTGAACAAACAGAGTTGTTTAATACTGAAAATATTGTGTGGAAGGCATCAATTACTTTCAGTGCATGTATAGCTTTTCTCTTTTCCTAATTATTATTATTATTAAGTTTAAAGTGGTTGAATTTTACGTAAGTGGTATTTATACATTATTTCTAATTTACCATTTATTTTAAGTTTTTTAAACTCTATTCATCGAGACCTATCTAATGAGTCCAAACACGATATTTCTGCTGTAAGTTTTCGAAGAGTATGTTCATCATCTGATAATACTGGTGCCAGCATGAAGTCAAGGTTAACAGATAACTAATTACTTTTATTTCGTCAAAATCTTTAGATTACGTATAATAAATTCATAATATCGCTACCTATTCAAATCAAAACAAGTATTAGGTACTTCATTTACTAGTATATAAATTCATCAACACACAAGTAAATGATTTTTAAATATATTCAGAGCCAAAAAAAAATCTTTGTGCATTTAAAAAATTTTGCCGATACGGATTCACTATTGCAGTAAATTGTTGAAAAAATATATATCGAGTATCTACTACTATCGACGAATACATTTGGCAACAACGCATGGTCTCGGCCGGAACGGCAACATCGCATACTAGAATACAAAGATAGTGGTAGAACGCGGAACGGCAACATGTTGCCGTTCCGCCACGCTACCGTTATAGTGGTAGAAAGAGAGAGACAGTGGAATCAGCAATATCTACGGATCGTGGCTGGATCAACTAAGTGTGCAAGTTTATATAAATGTATATATATATATATATACATTTGTCTTTAATTCAAAGGAAATACAAATAATGAACGCATCACATTTAAAACAGTAATAAGTACGTAATATTATCACATGGTAACAGCACGTATTATGGCAAAAATAAACATCGGCTGATTTGAAAAGATTTATTATAGTAATAATAGTAATCTCAAGACAATTCACACAGCTTTGTCTAGACCCAAGTTAAGCTAGCTGAAGATTATGTTATGGGTACTAGACAACTGATATAAATACAAAGATTTTTTGTCGTAAATACATATATATTATCTATACATAGAAAACACCCAGACCGTTACAAACAATCATACTCATGAATACAAATGTTTGCAGCGTGCGAGGAATCGAACCCTCGACCACCAAGCAGGAATCAAAGCGGTGTGCTAGCTAAATCGCTAGACTACCGACAACTAGCTGTACACGCGACTTCGTCCGCGTGGAATTTAACTTCTTATATTTTAGAAAAATAAAGTGAAATTCCACACGGACGAAATCCCGTGTACAGCTAGTCATCAATAAAAAAACACGTTGGTATCTCTAATATATTATACAGTAGCTGTTCCCGCGACTTCGTCCACGTGGTTTTTAACTTTATTTTTCTAAAATAAAAGTAGCCTAAGTTACTCCTTATTACATCGGCTACCTGCCAAAAAAAGTCCCGACAAAATCGGTCCAGCCATTTCAGAGATTAGCTGGAACAAACAGACAGACGGACAAAAATTGTAAAATATGTTATTTTGGTGTATGTACCGTATTTATATTCATATGCAAGTAGTAAAAAACGGTTATTTCAATAATACAAACAACAGGCTTCAACATTCTCAAGTACCACAAAAAAGATGTTTTTTCTATGAAATAAACACTTTTTATTAAAAACAAGCTGTTCCCGCGACTTCGTCCGCGTGGAATTAAACTTTATTTTTCTAAAATAAAAGTAACCTAAGTTACTCCTTATAAATCAGCTACCTGCCAAAAAAAAGTACCGTCAAAATCGGTCCAGCCATTTCAGAGATTAGCCGGAACAAACAGACCGACAGACAGACAGACAAAAATTATAAAAATTGTTATTTTGGTATATGTACCTTATATATATTCATATGCATGTAGTAAAAAACGGTTATTTCAATATTACAAACAGACACTCCAATTTTATTTATATGTATAGATTATTATTTATTTATTTATTTTTTCATCCAAAATAATACAAATTGTGTAGGATAACGTAATAGTAACATTACAGTAAAATTTTGTCAACAACATAATAGCAACTTAAATATTAAATCTCGGTATATCTATAGACTAGCTGGCCCCAGCGACTTCGTCCGCGTGAAATTTTATTTTATTTTTCTAAAATAACAGTAGCGTAAGTTAATCCTTATTACATCAGCTACTTGCCAAAAAAAGTCCCGTCAAAATCGGTCCAGCTATTTCAGAGATTAGCCGGAACAAACAGACAGACAGACAGACAAAACTTGTAAAATATGTTATTTTGGTGTATGTACCGTATTTATATTCATATGCAAGTAGTAAAAACGGTTATTTCAATATTGCAAACAGACACTCCAATTTTATTTACATGTATAGATGTATAGATTAAAAAAAAAGTAACAGTCATAAGGCTAGTCGTATGCCTAATATATATAATAATGTAATAAATTCATTTAAACAGAAATTGCGGCAACATTATTTAAATTTGTAACTTTTTTACTGTCCTTCTCCATTTTTCACATCTTTCTGTTATATCCCTATAGTTCTCTCTATATTTTCTGTTTTTCTTACTTTCAATTTGAGACTGTACTTATAATTTGATTATCAGATCATTATGTATTTATTTATATATAATATTTATACATTTATGGGTTATATTTAAATGAATTTAATCGATAAAATCGTTGTTAAGTATTAAATTAATTGTAAGTGATATTAACTATTATATTATGCATAAAAAATATTTGTAATAATAAAGAAAATACAAATAAAATATTTTACTTGTTGTGTTAGTTATTTATAAGATCTTACTATAATTGTTAGCTGCTTTACAATTTAGAAAGTACAATAGGTAATGTAAATTAAAATTAATTGAATACTTAACAACGTTTTGTTCGATTAAATTCATTTAATTATTAAAATAGTTAATTTAAAATTAGAATAAAGACAAAAAAAAAATAACAAAAAAAATCGGTGGCGGGAATCGAACCTTGAGCGTCCGTTTGGTAAGTTGATTCAAAGGCTTATTAAAATCAAAATTCAAAATTCAAAGTTACTGGTCATTTTGAAATAATACTTAGGGTTCGCATACCCTTATCGGATACTACTACTACACGGAGTTTCGTCAAAATAGAATATCTAGGTTAGGTATAATAAATTCATAATTAATAGACCGTTACGGTATCTGTATATACTCGGATCAAAACAAGTACTATGAAATAAGAAAGAGTATATAAATTGATTAACACAAGTAATTGATTTTTGAAATATATTCAGAGCCAAAAAGTCTTCTTTCTTTATTTATGTACTTGTTAGATGCGACAGCGACTTTGTTTTATACTATACTATACTATGTAATGATTGATATACCTAAAATAAATAAAATATCTGAGGTTTGGACAAAAACTCAAAGGGTAATGCATTTTGAAAAAGTATTTTGAAAATACCTATTTTGCTTTTAGTGTTATAGTACTTTAACTGTTATATTTTAAGTAACAATGTTTAATTATAATTAATACTACTGCACCAACACTCCGATCGTGCAAAAAAATTTGCTGTTTCATTATTTTTTAGTTCAATTAGTGGTCTACCTAAGTCCTGGGGTAAGGGGGGAGAGTCATGACGCCCCCATGACTCCCAAGACCTCCATGACGCTCCCCCCTGGATCCGCCGTTACGTCTTCTCTTCATTCGCTCAGTAACGTTGTTACTAAAGGAAAAATTCCCGTCCAAAAAATAACAAGTATTGAGGTTTGATCTGGAGTCACGTTCCTCTAGACTGATTTCTATAAATATTTAGATTAGATAGACTATTATTCTTGAAATACTAGCTAGACATTATTAAGTTACTGTAGCCATAATGTAGTAGTCCAAACGTGCCAATGAGGAAGCCCTTGGCAAATGCTGCACCCTGATTGGCCCGTTTGAATTGGATCAAGAAGTGGTCGAATGCCAAAAAGGTGGATTTGTATAAAATCGTGTATAAATCGCTTAATTATTATTATTACTCGTCGTGACAGTTGTGGCTCAAAAAGGATCAACATTTATATATCGTCAGCTGGCATTAGATCAACAAAAGGCCTCCGGATCAACAAGTGAAAAAGGATCAACAAAAAACTACCTATACGGCACGTCTGAGCCACAAAGTGCCCAAGGGGATATTTATATATATATATATATATATATATATATATATATATATATTCTCCTTTTATACATATCATCTTTCACACAATCCATCCATCTTTTTTTGGTGGTCCTTTTCCTTCGCGTCCATCCCCATAAATAATATTATCATGCCCAATTACCTTTTCTAAATAATGTAAATGTATTTTAAATTTATTTGCAGGCACGAGACGAAATCAGTTTCGAGGTCGGAGATATGATATCCATTATTGATATGCCGGGTGAGTATTTATGTTTTAAATTGTAGAGCGCGCACGATTTAGTGCGAGATGATCCTGAGTGATAAATTTACTATTTTTCTTTTGACTCACTGTATCATACTTTGATTTATATTATGTATGTATCTTCTTCTATAGATATAATAGCTTCTATAGATTAGATTACCATTTTTGTCTGTCTGTCTGTTTGTTCAGGCTAATCTCTGAAAGGGCTGGGCCGATTGCGACAGGACTTATTGGCAGGTAGCTGATCTAATAAGCAGTACTTAGGCTACCTTTATTTTAGAAAAATTGTTTTATTTTAGAAAAATAAAGTTAATCCACGCGGACGAATTAGAAATCTCAAAATTCAGTGTTTCTCTACAATGTTATGCATGTATTCTTTAAAAAAAAAAGCACTTCAAAATCAGTTTCGTTGTTTTAAAGATTTAAGCATACATTGGGACGGACAAACAGCGACAGCGACTTTGTTTTATACTGTGTTCATGTAAAGGTGATAGCTGATAGTAAATGTGTGGTTGCTCAGGTCCTCAAGAGTCGGTGTGGTGGCGCGGCAAGCGCGGGTTCCGCGTGGGATTCTTCCCGCACCACTGCGTGGCCGTCATCGGAGACAAGGTCCCCCGACACATGGCGCAGCCGCCCCCCATCGTCGGGTATGTACTCTATTGCTTTAAATCTTCAAATTCAAAAATAATTTATTAATGTAGAACATTTTAGCCGATTATGAACGTCAAATTTTTTTTTATTGTAATTTTTTCCCTGCAGTATAGTTCAGTATATACGAGTAGATCCAATTGAGAAGAACTGTAACTTCGTTTTGTATTCATTAGATCGTTTGTAGTCTGGGTGTTTTCTATGTATATTATGTATGCATTTATATCAATGGTGCCCATAACACAAGCTCTGCTTAGCTTGGGACCAGATCGCGCTGTGTAAATTGGCCTGGGTTATTTATATGCATATATTTTTGATCTGGGAGAAGGGGTTCTTCAAAATCTTTCTAGAAGGGTATATTACGGTTTCTTAAGGGTCGGCAATGTTCACGTAACACCCTTGGTGTTTCAAGCGTCGTAGGTCCATCACCAAACCCAATTTTTAATAGCGATTTTAATTTATATAGCAAAACAACGTTTTCAGGGCCAGCTAGTAATATATAAAAATATTGTTGTCCCCCACCAGCTCAGTGGCAGTGGCTCCCATCAAACCAGTGCTCCGCAAGCACGGCAAGTTGATTTCCCTGTTCCGGAGCTTCATACTATCCCGGCCGTCCCGCCGCAGCCTCAAGCAGCAGGGAATTTTGAGGGAGAGAGTCTTCGGTTGCGACCTTGGGGAGCATCTACTCAACTGTGGCCATGATGGTGAGATCTAACTTTGAAATATTGAGAGTGAGTTATAATTTTTAAATAGTACAAAATGTCACATCCATTGTCTGTTCGCTTTGATCTTTTAACCTAAGCAACGGATTTTAAAATATTTAGCAATATATAGAGTCATTCAAGAGAAAACTTTATATATATAATGCCCGTGCGATGTCGGGGCGAGAAGCTAGTAAAATAATAAAATAAAAACTGAGCTTTATGACTTAATACATTCGTGAAAAGTACAGTTGGTTTGTTTGGTTTGAATGAATGATGGATAAAAGACATTTTAAGCAAATAAATACATTTAATTTCATTTATTAACATAAATGATAGGTTTAATATATAAATTGAATTGTTAGTCATTGTAAATCTGGATAATACATTGGACTACATGTAATCCTGTGGAAACACCACGGTAGTACACAGTACAGATTTGGAATATGAAATGAGTACAAGTTGAATAAATTTGACGAAATCGCATGCCCGTAGGGGCCTTGGGGACCCATCTACTTCGAATTAACACTACACAGTACTGCCAGGCGTCTGGAACTATCAACTGTACTTTTATTGTAAAATCTAGAAAGTTGCTTACGACTAAATGATATTGTATTTGAGGGATTTTGTTTAATTAGTTGGAATACAGTACTGTCTATGTAATGAAATATCGGGACATTATCATTATAATAGGACTATTGGTCCTAATTTCTGAATGCTACTCAAATATAATAGAAATCACAGGATGATTAAAGTACTGTGCTTAAATGAATGTATTCTATTATAGTAGAAGTGAAACTTCAACAGACAAGTGTCTTTCTCTCACAACACGCTAGTGGACTTCTCATTGCCGATGTCCGCTCTCCATTGATGCCAGCCCTCTACGCGCTACCGCTTTTTCATGACCGAAAAATCTTAATACACTCTGTTTATATAGAAGTTTCACTTCAATGTTAATAAAACTGTGTGAGGATGGAGCGGTCCGGCGGGTATCCCGTACATATGGTGTAAAGTGAGCGGTGCGTGTGCGCAGTGCCGCTGGTGCTGACGGTGTGCGCGGCGGCGATCGAGGCGCGCGGCGCCGTCGACGGCGTGTACCGGCTGTCGGGCGGCGCCGGCCTCACGCAGCGCCTGCGGGCCGCCCTCGACGCCGGCCGGCCCGACCTGCGGCCGCTCGCGGCGCAGCTGGCCCGCGACCCGCACGCGGTGCCCAGCCTGCTCAAGATGTACTTCCGGTACGTACTGCGCCGGCCTCACGCAGCGCCTGCGGGCCGCCCTCGACGCCGGCCGGCCCGACCTGCGGCCGCTCGCGGCGCAGCTGGCCCGCGACCCGCACGCGGTGCCCAGCCTGCTCAAGATGTACTTCCGGTACGTACTGCGCCGGCCTCACGCAGCGCCTGCGGGCCGCCCTCGACGCCGGCCGGCCCGACCTGCGGCCGCTCGCGGCGCAGCTGGCCCGCGACCCGCACGCGGTGCCCAGCCTGCTCAAGATGTACTTCCGGTACGTACTGCGCCGGCCTCACGCAGCGCCTGCGGGCCGCCCTCGACGCCGGCCGGCCCGACCTGCGGCCGCTCGCGGCGCAGCTGGCCCGCGACCCGCACGCGGTGCCCAGCCTGCTCAAGATGTACTTCCGGTACGTACTGCGCCGGCCTCACGCAGCGCCTGCGGGCCGCCCTCGACGCCGGCCGGCCCGACCTGCGGCCGCTCGCGGCGCAGCTGGCCCGCGACCCGCACGCGGTGCCCAGCCTGCTCAAGATGTACTTCCGGTACGTACTGCGCCGGCCTCACGCAGCGCCTGCGGGCCGCCCTCGACGCCGGCCGGCCCGACCTGCGGCCGCTCGCGGCGCAGCTGGCCCGCGACCCGCACGCGGTGCCCAGCCTGCTCAAGATGTACTTCCGGTACGTACTGCGCCGGCCTCACGCAGCGCCTGCGGGCCGCCCTCGACGCCGGCCGGCCCGACCTGCGGCCGCTCGCGGCGCAGCTGGCCCGCGACCCGCACGCGGTGCCCAGCCTGCTCAAGATGTACTTCCGGTACGTACTGCGCCGGCCTCACGCAGCGCCTGCGGGCCGCCCTCGACGCCGGCCGGCCCGACCTGCGGCCGCTCGCGGCGCAGCTGGCCCGCGACCCGCACGCGGTGCCCAGCCTGCTCAAGATGTACTTCCGGTACGTACTGCGCCGGCCTCACGCAGCGCCTGCGGGCCGCCCTCGACGCCGGCCGGCCCGACCTGCGGCCGCTCGCGGCGCAGCTGGCCCGCGACCCGCACGCGGTGCCCAGCCTGCTCAAGATGTACTTCCGGTACGTACTGCGCCGGCCTCACGCAGCGCCTGCGGGCCGCCCTCGACGCCGGCCGGCCCGACCTGCGGCCGCTCGCGGCGCAGCTGGCCCGCGACCCGCACGCGGTGCCCAGCCTGCTCAAGATGTACTTCCGGTACGTACTGCGCCGGCCTCACGCAGCGCCTGCGGGCCGCCCTCGACGCCGGCCGGCCCGACCTGCGGCCGCTCGCGGCGCAGCTGGCCCGCGACCCGCACGCGGTGCCCAGCCTGCTCAAGATGTACTTCCGGTACGTACTGCGCCGGCCTCACGCAGCGCCTGCGGGCCGCCCTCGACGCCGGCCGGCCCGACCTGCGGCCGCTCGCGGCGCAGCTGGCCCGCGACCCGCACGCGGTGCCCAGCCTGCTCAAGATGTACTTCCGGTACGTACTGCGCCGGCCTCACGCAGCGCCTGCGGGCCGCCCTCGACGCCGGCCGGCCCGACCTGCGGCCGCTCGCGGCGCAGCTGGCCCGCGACCCGCACGCGGTGCCCAGCCTGCTCAAGATGTACTTCCGGTACGTACTGCGCCGGCCTCACGCAGCGCCTGCGGGCCGCCCTCGACGCCGGCCGCATTTTGTATGTATACTCCGCCTCGATCTGGCTGCGCAGCTTCCGATGTCCTCTCTCCGCTGCCAGTCTCTCTTTCTCTCACAACGCGATATATCGTGTATCTCCTCCAAGCGGCGGTAACGCTTTTTCGTAACCGCAATTCCTTACGGTTACGAAAAAGTGTTTTATATTTTCCATATAGAAATTTCACTTTAAAATATAACTATCCAAAAGTTGATTAATTATTTGATTAAGATGATTAATATTTCTGTTGTTGTTACGACAGGGAGCTGCCGAACCCGCTGTGCACGTACCAGCTGTACGAGAGCTTCGTGTGCGCCGTGCAGGCGGCGGACGAGCGCGCCAAGCTGCGTGCCGTCAGGGACGCCGTCGCCAAACTACCGCCCCCGCACTATCGGTATGTCGCTCCCTTACACCACCAACTAACAACATGTTTTTATAGTTTACTTTACTGTACGCTGTAGCATGGTGCAAGTGACAGTTGCTACATTTAACACTTGCTAAATTTAAGTTGCTACAGTTGTTAATGATTGTATACTCATATATATGTTACATACATAATTAAATACTAAGTCGTAATTTGTGAGTCGTGGCAACTTTCAAGACTGAAACTACACCATGCTACAGCGCACATTTCGTATCATCGTACCTTAACGGATATCTGCAAGAGTTCTGTTCTCCTTTCTTTTTTTTTGACTAAATATAATACATGTGTCTTAAAAAAAAGTAAACTAGACAATTTAAATATATTAAGACGTTTCGACCTACACATTATATAGAACGTGTACTATGGTACATGTTCTATATAATGTGTAGGTCGAAATCATTACGCATTTATGTCATATTATACTCATGTATATCAATTGTTTTTGACTATATCGAGTAACCGGAATTGTATTGTGTTTTAGGACGATGGCGTACCTGATGCGGCACCTACGCCGCATATCGCTGCTGGGAGCGCAGACCGGCATGACGGCGCGCAACATGGCCATAGTGTGGGCGCCCAACCTGCTGCGGTCACCACGCCCACAGCACGCGCTGCAGGGCGTCGCCGTGCAGGTCCGTACTGTGACATACACACAAACAACATGGCCATAGTGTGGGCGCCCAACCTGCTGCGGTCACCACGCCCACAGCACGCGCTGCAGGGCGTCGCCGTGCAGGTCCGTACTGTGACATACACACACACAACATGGCCATAGTGTGGGCGCCCAACCTGCTGCGGTCACCACGCCCACAGCACGCGCTGCAGGGCGTCGCCGTGCAGGTCCGTACTGTGACATACACACAAACAACATGGCCATAGTGTGGGCGCCCAACCTGCTGCGGTCACCACGCCCACAGCACGCGCTGCAGGGCGTCGCCGTGCAGGTCCGTACTGTGACATACACACACACAACATGGCCATAGTGTGGGCGCCCAACCTGCTGCGGTCACCACGCCCACAGCACGCGCTGCAGGGCGTCGCCGTGCAGGTCCGTACTGTGACATACACACACACAACATGGCCATAGTGTGGGCGCCCAACCTGCTGCGGTCACCACGCCCACAGCACGCGCTGCAGGGCGTCGCCGTGCAGGTCCGTACTGTGACATACACACACACAACATGGCCATAGTGTGGGCGCCCAACCTGCTGAGGTCACCACGCCCACAGCACGCGCTGCAGGGCGTCGCCGTGCAGGTCCGTACTGTGACATACACACAAACAACATGGCCATAGTGTGGGCGCCCAACCTGCTGCGGTCACCACGCCCACAGCACGCGCTGCAGGGCGTCGCCGTGCAGGTCCGTACTGTGACATACACACACACAACATGGCCATAGTGTGGGCGCCCAACCTGCTGCTGTTCCTGCGCACACACGTACACGTGCACACACATACATACACACAAACGCTGTTTCGAACCCCTAGCGGTGACCTCAGACTAAAATCATACCCGTCAAACGGGAGTTAGCCTTCAGCCGCTCCATAAGTCTCTTCCTTTGGTTTGCAGTGCCATCTGTACTCCCTATCGTCCGGTGAAGCTGTAAAGGCCAGCTGCGGTGAACAGCATTAGAGTAGTCCGAAAAAAACATACACACTCATTGTAATCGACATAAACCCCATCATAAACATCGATAGTTCAATAGTATATAATTGTTAATTTTTCGACAGGCGGTGGTGACTGAATTCCTTATTTGCTACGCGGAGGATCTGTTCGCTCAAGAGCAAGCGGCTGACTCAGGCGATTCGGGGCCAGATTCACTTGAACAGGTAAGTTTACTAGTTTACGTCCGGGGTAATGCAGTTGAGTTTCTTACCAGTTCTTCTCAATTGGATCTATATAATGAACTGGACGGTAGGGAAAAAATTATAATATAAAAAATTTGACGTATATAATAATAATAATAATAATCTTTAGGACAATTCACACAGCGCCATCTAGACCCAAGATAAACTAGCTAAAGCTTGTGTTATGGGTACTAGATAACTGATACAAATACATAGATATATTTTTTTTGTAAATACATACATATTATATATAAAACACCCAGACCGATACAAACAATCATACTCATGAATACAAATGTTTGTGCCGTGCGAGGAATCGAACCCGCGACCATCGGTCGTAAAGCGGTGTACTAGACCGCTGGACCACCGAGGTCGTTAAATATGTTGTATATAAGCGGCTAAAATGTCATTTGACATGCCTACATTTCTTTGGGCACATTTGATTCCAGCTTGGTAGCAGTAGATGGCCTACCTCCGTATTTTGAATTAATTATTATTAATTGTTATCGGTGTTTCCACCATTGGAAAGTATGTATATATATATTTGAAGTCATGTCAGAACACATTTTTATTAAAATAGTTTTTAAATATAATAGGTATAAAAGTTTTTCAAAATTGATAATCATGCTTATTTGCAGGACCGTTGCGATTCTCTGGTGGAGTTACGTGGACAGGACTCTTGTAGACGTCCGAAGAGTTTACCGCTCAACCCGCCTACTAAATTGTTAAGGTTAGATTTAGATAACATTTGTTTGTTTGTCCAGACATGTGGCGGCGTGGTGGGCCTGGTCATTGCGCTCCCTAAAATATGGTCGAGCGCAGTGATGGCTGGCTCATCCGTCATACTCGTGAACGAGTGCTGCTTGTAGGGACTGGTCTGCTCTTATCACTACGACTGATTTAATCTTATTGCATATTTATATTTGACCCAAAAAATTAGTGCTTGTTGGTAGTTTGTATTCACATGTTTCGACTTGTAAATGTAAACTTACAAGGATTATTTAAAAGAGCAACACAAGTTTCTTGCTCGTTCTTCTTGTGATGAGACAGCTTTCCGAATGAGTGGTAGATAAAAAACAAATTGTTATGACTGTTCAAAAGTGCTTAAATATTAAGTTTATTTGAATATATGATTTTCTATTCTATTCTATTCTATTCTACTCTATTTAATATTAAATCATGATTTATCAGACGATGCTTCTGCCTCCCAGATTCCACCAAATTATGGACTACAAAAAATATTTTTATTACTATGAAAATAGAATTAAATAGGTGTTTATTACAAAACTAGCTATTCGCCCCGGCTTCGCATGGGTGTACATGTATTATATATATAAACCTTCCTCTTGAATGACTCCATCATTGCTGATTGCATTAAAATCTGTTGCATAGTTTAAAATATCTGAGCGCAAAGACAGCGGAAGTGGCTTCTTTTGTTACCATGTTAACATTTATATATTGGTGTGTATTATACCGTAGCCTGGAGGAGGCGCGGCGGAGGGGTCGGCCGGCGGCACCGGGCAGTCCGCGGCTGCCGGCCTCGGGCGCCATCGCGCGCGCCGCGCAGCCCTCCCCGCAGCTGCGGCCCTCCGCGCACCTGCGGCCCAAGTACATCGAGGTAGGTGACACGTGACACGTGACACGTGACACGTGACACGTGGCGCCATCGCGCGCGCCGCGCAGCCCTCCCCGCAGCTGCGGCCCTCCGCGCACCTGCGGCCCAAGTACATCGAGGTAGGTGACACGTGACACGTGACACGTGACACGTGACACGTGGCGCCATCGCGCGCGCCGCGCAGCCCTCCCCGCAGCTGCGGCCCTCCGCGCACCTGCGGCCCAAGTACATCGAGGTAGGTGACACGTGACACGTGACACGTGACACGTGACACGTGGCGCCATCGCGCGCGCCGCGCAGCCCTCCCCGCAGCTGCGGCCCTCCGCGCACCTGCGGCCCAAGTACATCGAGGTAGGTGACACGTGACACGTGACACGTGACACGTGACACGTGGCGCCATCGCGCGCGCCGCGCAGCCCTCCCCGCAGCTGCGGCCCTCCGCGCACCTGCGGCCCAAGTACATCGAGGTAGGTGACACGTGACACGTGACACGTGACACGTGACACGTGGCGCCATCGCGCGCGCCGCGCAGCCCTCCCCGCAGCTGCGGCCCTCCGCGCACCTGCGGCCCAAGTACATCGAGGTAGGTGACACGTGACACGTGACACGTGACACGTGACACGTGGCGCCATCGCGCGCGCCGCGCAGCCCTCCCCGCAGCTGCGGCCCTCCGCGCACCTGCGGCCCAAGTACATCGAGGTAGGTGACACGTGACACGTGGCGCCATCTAGTGTGGCCCAAATACATCCACGTATCACACATTCACTGCAGGCACTAACCACGGTCAGCCAGTAGTCCTCCTTCATGAAGATGGGCATGTTGATGGAGACCCGGGCCACAAACGCCTTGAAACTCGCGTTGTGACTCATCTTTAGTTGCGTCACCTTCAATGTCAGAGTTACTCCTGGTCCAACTGTAGTTGACTATGACCTGTACCTTGTCCTTAAAATACTGGATGACTTTATTTACAGTGTGTTACATACACCGTTATACGTTTGTAGTAGATTGGCCATACATTACTATAAACACATAAATGTCTTGCCCAGTTAATTTACCTGTAGTAAACATAAGTTTATATTAATTCTGTACATATAACAAATTGTAATTAATATAAAAATATTATTATAATTGCAGGTTGGTTCTGGTCCCAACAATCTGCCGCAGTATCACACCGTCTTGGAACTACCATTACCAGGTATAGTTATTGTAATTCGAGAGCGAGAGAGAACGATAAAAATAAAAATAGCTAACGTTACAAAACAAAATGCATTTTAATTTATACTTTTTACTGACTAAGATGAAGGTAACATCTGTAAGAAAATAAAAATCTAAAATCATTTATTTATTCAGAACATTTTAACCGCTTATGAACGTTAAGTTTTTTGAAATAATATTTTTTTCCCTACCATCCTAAAACACGAAACTAAAAGCTGATAAGAGAGATGACGGTAGGCTTGTTTCATACCACATTGGATTCAAATATACTCACTGTTGGTTGTGTTAAGGCTGTATTTAGTTTGCCTTGGGAGAAATGCAATTTTGTTTTGAAATTTAATTAAAACGACGATGTGTCTTCACGTTTGTATTTTGGCGACTGATTGAAAGTATTGAAACGTACTTAACAATGGCCAGCCGGTAGATACATACACGACTATAGCTACGGTCGGCTATAGACCGACCACTCACCAAACCTGTATATATCAAGTGTTGCTTGAACACCTACATTTAACAACGGTTCTCGACTACCCCACACCGGTTAGCAGTTGTGAAGATATGTATTATTGATTGGTAGGTGCCAAGCGCGGATTGAAACGGTCACCGTCGGGTTGGCGCGGCCTGTTCTCACGCACAAAGCAGCAGCGACCGCCAGCCGCCGCGCATACGTCATCTCAACGTGCCCAGCATCCCGCTCTCGTGAGTAATCTGCTCTACTGAATAACAGCGTAAAATTGTCGTCATAACAATAAACATACAACTTTTTTCATTAATGTCTATATGGGCTTATATGAAAATATGATATTATAAGAACACCTAATGTATAAAACACTCGTGTCATAGTGTTTGTTGCCATACTTCTCGGCTTCATCGATATAGCTTGAATTTTATATGTATACTCAGTACGTCTGAGTATAGGTTGTCTATTATGTATCCCCCTAAGTGGAAAATCGCGGATTTTTCCAAAATTTTCTCTAATAAACTCTATATATTCACTCTTCTACCACCAATCCTTATTTTAATATCGATGTTAGTAATTTAATGATTTTGTACTCTAGGCGGTCGATAACAGATTAATAAATAACGTTTAGGGTCAGCTAGTATATAATTGAATCAATTCAAAATGTCTATTCATGTGACTTACATGAATAGACATTTTTTTATTACAGAGATTTGTCAAATCTACCGTCAGTTTTGAAGTGCTATTGAGCTAAGAACTGACAAGAAATTCATCTCTTATTTTTTTTAAATGAGCTTGTACATGTTTAATAAAATACAGATACATTTTTCAATTCAAATAAGGGAGAATAATCTCAGGATAATTCACATAGCGCCATCTAGACTCAAGTTAAGCTGCTAACTAAAGTTTATGTTATGGGTACTAGATAATTGATATATTTTTTTTTTCATACATACATACATATTCTACATAGAAGAGACCCAGACGTCTGGGTCAAACATTTGTACTCATGAGTATGATTGTATCGGTCTGGGTCTCTTCTATGTAGAATATGTATGTATGTATGTATGAAAAAAGAAACCATCGGAAGTACAGCGGTGTGCTAAACCGTTAGACCACCGAGGCCGTCATCAATATGTGTTATATGAATGGTTATTGCAGGAGGGCGGCGCGGAAGCGGAAGCGGGGGCCGAGGTAACGGCCCTGGAGGCAGAGCCGGGTCCCCCGGGTCCCGCGGGTGCCCCGGGTGCGCTGCGGCCCGTGAAGTCGTGCGAGTCGCTGTCGTCGGACTGCGACACGCTGCCGCCGCTGCACCCCAGACTCGCGCCGCTCAAGCACCACACCAGGTACGTAGATTTTTAATTACTAATGCTTCTAAGGACTGTATATATTTCATATTATATTTTTAGTTACAAGAGAAACTACGGTCGCTGAAGGTAAAAGACATATATTTCAAATTAACAATAAAAATGGAACGAATCATAATATATTTAAGAAGGTGCGTTATGCACACAGATTATTTTAGAAGGCCTTTTTTAGGTATCTCATGAACACTTTGTGGATGGAGACTTTGTACAGTCTTACTTTGCAAAAAGTAGCGGAGGCGTAGGCGTAGTCGGCGGAGTTGACCGACATGCGGCTGAGATTGACAATATTATCTGATTACGCTAATAATGAGTGCGTAGCGATTTCTATGTTGATTATCGCATGCCTCTTACTTGTTATAGGTACTATAATTATTTATATAAAAAAAACATATATTAAAAAGAGCAACACACAAGTTTCTTGCTCATTCTTCTTGTGATGAATCTGCATTCCGAATGAGTGGTAGAATCAAAATATGACTATTCAAAAGTGCGCTTGTAATGAGTTTATTTGAATAAAGATTACTTCTATTCTATTCTTTGTCTGACTGTTTTCTTTTCTGTCATGCTCTTTTAATATCCAGATGGTGGTGACTTGATGGGAAGAGTCATTGTGAATGGGTACTGCTCGTAGAGTTTGGTCTGCTCTGATGACTATGACTGATTTATTTTGTTACTCAAGTAACAATTTATTTATTTAAGTCCATTTTGCTATTGATGATGGATGGATGGAGGGATAGAATAAAGTAGTGTAAGGTAGTTTTTTTATACCTTTTGATTTCCCATTCTACGACTTTTTAAAGTTTATCTCTAATTCGGCAAGACGTCCATATTGAATTATGAATTACATATAAGATAGCTCGAGAGTAAATAAAGAGAGTAGAACGGAAGGAGAAATGAAGAGAGTACAACGTACATGTAGCGACTGTAAATGATGTACGTTATAATCACATTGCATTGGTGTTTGCATATTCGTGCGGCAGGTCGTCGTCGTGCGACTCGTACTTCGAGCCGTGGCAGGCGGAGCTGGCCGACATGCGGCTGAGACTGTCGCCGCAGGAGCGGGACCACCACATGTTCAGCGAGGAGGACGACACGCATCTGCACGGACTCGAACACGACGCACAGGTGACACACGCACACACACACAGGTGACACACGCACACACACACAGGTGACACACGCACACACACACACACACACACACACACACACACACACACACACACACACACACACACACACACACACACGCACACACACACACACACACACACACACACACACACACACACACACACACACACACACACACACACACACGCACACACACACACACACAAAGAGGACGATGCGCACCCACAGGGACACAACCACGACCACGATGCACAGGTGACACACACACATACACTTTCACACAACCACACACATACATCGCACACTCGTCTGCTTCTTGCTGACTTCTTCTATACTATTCTACATTCGTATACGAGTGTACTGTATGGTAACGTGTGGTGTACGTGCCGCAGGGCTCCAGCGCGTGCTCGTCGCCGTCGGGCACGTGGTGCAGTGCGGACGGCAGCCCCGCCCCGCTGCGGCACTGCGTCGACGTGCACAGAGACACGCACGGGTATGTACCTACTATATATATTATACTCTGCGGTTTTTTCTATAGGTGATACGATAGGTGTGCCCGCAATTTCAACTGGATGAAATTTATAACCTGTTTGTTATTTTGATGTATAAGTTGTATGATTGTAAAGTTCCAGCTAGTCTCCAGCTAAACTTCATATTTGTAGGAGTATAATAGTTGTCTCGGTACTCTATATACGTATATAGAAGTGCGTTGAAAGTTGATGAGTGAGTACAGTGTTTATGCGGTGCAGGCGCCGCAACGTGCTGGAGGAGCAGGCGGCGGCGCTGGGCTACATTGACGGGGAGTCCCCGAGGAGGCCCGCGCGGCCCGCGCCAGAGAAGCGCGCGCCCAGCCCGCACCGCCCCGACGTCGCCAAGAGGTACCCGCGCACCCCACGCCCGCCACACTCGCCACTCTCGCCACACTCGCCACTCTCCCACACCCGCCACGCTCCCTCCGCGCCCGAGAAGCGCGCGCCCAGCCCGCACCGCCCCGACGTCGCCAAGAGGTACCCGCGCACCCCACGCCCGCCACACTCGCCACTCTCGCCACACTCGCCACTCTCCCCATTCTCCCACACCCGCCATGCTCCCTCCGCGCCAAAGAAGCGCGCGCCCAGCCCGCACCGCCCCGACGTTGCCAAGAGGTACCCGCGCACCCCACGCCCGCCACACTCGCCACTCTCGCCACACTCGCCACTCGCCCACACCCGCCACGCTCCCTCCGCGCCAGAGAAGTGCGCGCCCAGCCCGCACCGCCCCGACATCGCCAAAAGGTACCCGCGCATACCACGCCCGCCACACTCGCCACTCTCGCCACAATCGCCACTCTCCCACACCCGCCACGCTCCCTCCGCGCCCGAGAAGCGCGCGCCCAGCCCGCACCGCCCCGACGTCGCCAAGAGTTACCCGCGCACCCCACGCCCGCCACACTCGCCACTCTCGCCACTCTCCCCACTCTCCCCACTAGTGTCCACGCCTGCTTAACTTGCCTGGAAAAGTCTTGAGATTAAATCAATAATTCACTAATAAAACACATCTTCTGGACTGAAATGATGACGATGAAGAAGAATTGTATTGCTTTGCAGATATATTATTTAGAAAGTTACTGGAACACATGTAGAGTAATGTACGAGATTAAAAAATCGTTATTTGTCCCAATAAACGATAATATTAAACATGTTAGTTTAAAAGTAACAGGTATTTTTATTTTTTACAGATTATGCAAAAATAGAGAGGGTCCGGTGGCCGCGGTTCCCGATTTCCAAACGTCACTATCCAACGTGAAACTGAGGTGAGTTCATATGGTAATTTTATAAAATGGAATCTTATTTAATTAAAATAAAAAACTGTTCCCAAGTATGGCACAATGTTTAGTTAAGCTAGTTTAAGTAGTTTTATTTTTATTTATGTATATTTGCCCTACGGGCTTTGTACTACCCACTCGAAGGTTGTTGCCCCGGAGTAGTCGCCGGGGCAAAGGGGTTTGCCCTGAGGCCCCAACCTTTACCTCCTCGGGGGGTTTCGAAGACCAGATAGGGTAATCCCTTTCTACGCACTAAACCAGTGCTTCGGGGAGTTGGTCCAATTCCCAGACGCTTCATGTTTCAGACAGTCAATATAATTAACCTTATTCTACAGATACTTATGTTTATGACTATTTTTTTTTATATACAACGATGTTGGCAAACAAGCATATAGCGCATCAGCTAGTAAACGGTTACCGTAGTCTTTGGACGCCTGAGACACCACGGTGTCTCCTGCGCGTTACCGGCCCTTAAGAAACGTTAAATATTTATTAGACAAGTTTTTTTATTATTTAATACTTTGATATTAAATAATACATAGAACCCTAAATTTTCACTCTTCAATCACCAACCAATTGTACAATCCAAAAGAATTTACTGTTACATATTATTGTGCTTTGTAACGTTTAAATGATTAATAACTATTAATTTATAAGCACGGTATGTCGAAGTTCTTGTGCTAATGTCACATCAACCCATGCACGTTAACAGAACTATAGTCTAAAATCTATTTGTCTATGTAAAATGGCTCAACATTTATGGGATGAACTTGTTTTTAACATATATCTCTATTAATATTATTTATTCTTTATTGAACAAAGAACTTGTACAACAGGCGAGCTTAATTTCGTATCGCATTCTCTACTTTTTTGCATAATTATAAAAAAATAGCAAGCTGCAGTCCTTCACAATATAAAATATAGGTGTGCGAAATTTCATACTCCACCACTGCAATAACTTTGTACTCCTATACGTACAAAGTTATTGCATCACGTATAGAATATATAGAACATTTTATATTATGTATATGTTCTAATATTATTTTTAATGTATGGGTCTATGTGACATCACTAACTTGCTGTTGTTAAGTCATAATTGTCAGTATATAACTTCACTATATGTAATGTAAAACCTGAACTGAGATGGTAATGTAAGCTGACAAAACATTGCAATAACTATAATTGTCGTCCCTATCCTATCTAATAAATGACAAATTCACTAGCCTTTGTATATGTTTTAAATAAATATTTATATGTGAAAATACGTCAGTTTACATTTGCTATCTATAATCGTATACCGTCAACAGCACTACCTTCTTAAGTCATCACTCATTTAATTCATCACATTCTAATAACATCATCTAACGACGCTTGCAGAGAACGAAACTCACCAAGAAAAACCAAAAACACATCACGGTATAGCGGTATGCACCACCCTGTGTCGATCCCTGACGAGAAACCCGTAACAGTACATTCTCGACTTAGTTGGCACGGCAAAGACGGTCATTCTACTTTAATAAAGATAGATTGGCCAATAGAGAACAATTCAATTAGCAATCTAACGACAAGTACACTAAATTCTAGCCCCCTGACTCCTGTAACGCCGGTCTACGACCCACTGGAAAGTGACTCAGAAGTCAGCGAAGCTAATATACACACAATAAAAATTAAAAACAATGAATGCGATAATTGTACAGAAGATAAATGTCTCAAGTGTGAATTGAAAGATGCAGACTACGAAAATGTTGATGACGTCGTAGAAAATGTTGATAATTATACAGAAAACAATTTACATGATAGTCTAGAGCATACTCCTATCCATTCGACTGATATAAGTTACCAAAATTTAAATAGATTATCAGCTGTTTCGACATCTTCCAACTCCGATCCAAATTCGGATAAAAAGAAGGATGTTAATTACGAAAATTGTGACTTGAAGGTGATGACATCTTCGCATGAAAGTTCGTCAAGTTATTCGAACATCAGTTTAACTAAACAGGATGAATATGAAAATTATAACTTTTCAAGACCAAATTATATTAATCTCCAATCATCTAGTACTTCGAAAAGTTCTCCAGGAAGTCCGTTAAAGAGTCCCTTAAAGTCTACAATTAGCATTACATTTCGTTCACCGACTAAAAGTAAATCGTCCGACTACGAACCTATAGATGACAATGACACGCCGTTAAATGAAAGAGATTCTGTGTACGAGGATATAGATTTGGAGAAAAATTTATCAATTGTTGAAGAAGCATCTGTACCTGAAGCAGATGCTAGCTTGCCAACCCAGCAGGCTTGTCAACCTAAAGATTTTAGTGAAGATCTAATCATTTTAGAAACTCCTACCGACGGAACCGAAGTCGATGATAACGTAGACGTCTATAGTCAAGTGAAATTCTTTAAAAAGAGTATAGAAGAAGTAAACGCTATGATACTTGAATCACCAGAGAAAGAAAGACACTATGAAAATCTTTCATTTGCAGAGACGAGGCAAGAATTTGAAAACATTAACGTAGAGGCGTTAAAAATCTGTGATAAAGATATAGTAATTAATGAATCCGTTGATAATGACAAAAAAGAATCAAGTGATGTTTTAGAAAGAGAGAATGGCAATATAGTTAAGGAAAAAGTTTCGAATTTGAATGTTAGAGAATTGGCCATACGTTTCGAAAGTCCAACCGAGCAAAAAGGGCCATTTACATTTGAAAAGTTCAAAGCTGAAATAAAATATCCTAGTCTAGAGCGCAAAGGTGAAGATAAAAAAATCAATATTGAAATAAGGAAAAAGGAAGTAAAGCTACCCCCACCTGTGTCTCCTAAAGCATTCAAACTATCTAGAAACTCTAGTAATGCCAGGTCACTAGATGAGAATGCGTTCATAAAAGAATTTGGGAGCGAAAGAACGTATGTTGACCGACGGAAAAGTCTAGAAGTAAAAGATGGGAAGAAACATACAAAATTCTTACCAGACTTGAACTTAAATATGGAAGAAAATGATCATAAAATCAGCATAACGCCAACGACGGAAAACAAAATATGTTTGGTGCAAAGAAACGAGCGACCGAGCGACCTGAAGAATTTAATCCCATTCGACTCTGATAAGAAACTGAGTCGTGAACGTATAGAGAAATACAAAGAGGAGCGACGGAACTTTCTACGGGAGAAATACAGTTCGCAATCTTTCAGAAGCAATCCTGAACAATTGACCAGGATAAAGATAAAGAAAGACCAGGAAACGATAGAGACGTGCGAGAGATTAAAAGACGATTTGCCCAAGTTTGAGAGACGGAACACTGTAGATTTGGGGCAGCGTATGAGGTTTTCTCTAGCGAGGAGCAGTCACAATTTAGACACGATTCCCTCCCCCACTAGTCCGGAGAGAGGGTTTTGTAAAAAGGACGGCGAAAGCAGTAAACGAGAACGGAGCAGAGACTTTGAAAGGTACGTATATTCGTCATTTTCTATCTAACATGGTTTTGTTGTTAAGTAGAGGGGACAAATGAAATTGTACCTACTAATCAATAAAAATAAAGTTGAAATATCAATTAGTAACGATTTTCAATACAATTTAATTAGTAACCAACTTTAAAACGTATTGTATAAGATCTATTTTACTAAAATAAAAGTATTTGCATTAACCCCTTTATTTAATGACAGATAGTTCTGAATCACCAAGTGTACAATATACATCGAAAAAATTGGTGCAGGTTTTGTCTTTACCTTCCTAACACAATTGCTGTTAATTTTGACCTTTGTGTTGTTAGAAACATTGAACAGAATGATAGTTTCCCGTTTTTAAATACGGAAAGTATTTAAAAACGGGAAACTAGCATTTTTTAATTTCCACCAATTTTTTCGATTATTCGATGTTTGTGTGATCTGTAATTGGTATAATAAGCTATCATTGGCCAGTAACAATTTAATATTTTACGTAAAACATAACGCGCAAAATTCTACTCGCCAAAATAGTGCTTGTCACAAAATTTATCCTTTTGATATTCGTCGTTTTTGATGTTAATTATTAACATGTAATTTAAATAAATTGTGTACATATTTAAAGAGAAAATGCATCCATCTTATATATAAAACTACCTTTACACCTAAAAGCTTTAATAACTTGAGTGTGTTAAAAAATCAACTTAAAAAATTACAATTGTATGGACTCATGTATACATTTGTAATTTCTTCTGAAAACCACGTGGAAAATTGCCTTTCCATGGCTACAATAAAAAAGGACGAGGCAGGCTACCAACTACCTTGTTGACTAATGTCCATAGGGACATGAAGGAGTTGCGCCCGTCAAATGACGATGCGTACCAGCGAAATGTATGGCACATCAAGATTAGAAAAGCGAGGATGTAGGAAAGGATCCACTCATTTCGTATTCTCATTTTTTTAAAACGAAAGTCGAGTTTTGTAAATCTTTACTAGTAAACCAATAATCTACTTTAAAACTAATCCACAGGAATGAGAAGGTGTCCCCATCGTACAACATTCGCGACATGGCGGCCATGTTCGAGCAGAAGTCGCAATGCAACCCGACCACCGGTTGACACGCGCTTAAATCGTGAACACCGCACGATTAAACGTTCAGCCATCCGCACCAAGCAGGTGGTACGTTCAACTTTAAGTCAGTCATTAGGATTGAAGCGACGCGTGACTGATTCGTGGTATTTTTACAAATATTTTTCTTGTCATCAGTGGTTCAGTTGATTGTATTGTTCTTTTTTATTATTTTTAATTTTGTAATTATACACATATAAATGTGATATTTACTATGTTATTATATATGAGCTCCCGTCAGTCTCTCCCACTCGTAGACTCAGAGACCTGTGACAAAAACGTTTGTCACATATATCGTAATATCGGTAACTCATATGTAATATTATTATTGTGGTTACTAATAAATAATCGACAGTTAATTTTATTGTCAAATTGTATTTTTTATTGTAATGGCTACGGTTTTATATTGCTATATGTGTAGTCACATTAATCGATAATTACCACGATACCACGATTCAGTCGTAGTGGTAAAAATACCACAGATCTGAGCGAACAGAGCAGCGCGTCGCTCCAACTCGAATTGTTTTTGTTATTTATATATTAATAAGTAGATATACGCACTGTGAAATATATTCCAGAAATATAACTATTACAGTATTTAGCTTACGTTATTATAAGCTTTATGTGCGTTATTATATAGTTTAAAATGCAAAAGCTAAAATGATATTCGAAGTTAATGAAGCATAAGTGAATTTTATAAAATTATCTGTATGTGGGTACAGTTGGCTTTAAATATATTACTCGACGCGTTGCGGAGGCATACAAAGCATTATAACGTGGTGCTTGTGCCTTGTCCTAAAACATAAAAGTATAATAAAAAATATTATATATAGGTATGTCTTTAATTGAATATTTAAACAAATATTATATATTACGCATTTTGCGGACTGTACTAGTTATATTTTCGGAATATCAATTGTTTTGTTGATATTATTTATTTGTCTTTTTGTACTATAATAATTAACTGAACATCACACTCAAGTATTAATTTTGTTATTGCATATATTGCGAATATTTATTATATATTAGAAGACAATTAAAGATGATATGGCAAGAAAAGGAAGTAATAACAAGATGACTGCAGACTAAAGAGATGAACGAAAGAAAACACATTACGGTCCTAATTTATATGGAATAAGCAGATGATGATTCGAATACAATTAAATATCCCTGATTTGTCTCGTCTGATCCTCTGATAGTATGGGTACGTACCCTAATTTGTCTCTTCTGATCCTCTGATAATAAATATTCGCAATTCGTTTCGTGTTTTGTGTATTTATAAATTTAAGTTACGAACTTATGACAATGTCTTTATAATACCAATAAATAATCGGTGTACTCTCATTATTTGTTACGATTTAATTAAATTAATAATATAGTGATACGTTTTTTGTATATAAACGCTATTTGAATGTCTGATATTATCTTTACTGAGTCTCCATTATGAAGTTTGTTAGTTATATATCAAATATTAAGAAATGATTAGAGCGATCTCCTTTTAAAGAATTTTAGATCTTATGACACTGTTAATGTAGCTCGAATTGTAATATATCGTGTGACAAAACCGCGAGCATCAAAGGTTAGGTGTTAAACCGTCAGACCACAAAGTCATTATAAAATTTAAAAAAATAGGAGATCGTAAGACAACTAGGACGGATGTTCTCTAAATTGAATGATCAATTTATAATAATTCTCTCTATAAAGCTGTAAGTATTTCATTTCTACAAAATTAAGTATAACTGTTTCGTAAAGACTAACTGAATAACATTCAAAATAAATGAATTGTTTATTACAAACGGTGCACATCTTTTGACATCTGCCAAATGACGATAATTTAGTAATGTATTTTTAACAAAAATCTTTAACACATTTTTTATTGTAAATATTACTGATGCAAAATTACATAACTTTTACTCTTGCCCAACACTAATATTTTTTTAAGCGATAACAATTGTTAGTGCGGTTTCCCACTAAAATGCTGGTATAAGAGAACGTGCATACTAACTGTGTACTACGTAACGTCGTCGTGGTACCTGTTATTGTTTAGTACCTCCTTCAAGATCATGCAGTGTAAAAATTTGAAAATACTATAACTGTCAATGCATGGGCGTTGACGTTTAGTGTTGCCATAGTTGCGAGTTATATAAAATTATAATAATAAAATGCATTTATTACTATATTTTTGTAAGCAGTATTTAAATAGCTATTTACACTTAGCGTGGACGGTGTTATACTTATCAAAATGATTACCTGAATACAATATTATTAAATATGAATTCGAAAATAGCGATTATTTCATTCGAATGATCTACAAACAGCACGCAATCGAGTTAAGATCATATCGAATAAATAACATTTTATAGCAGTATGAATGATTTTTCCTTATTTTTTTGTATTTATTTACAAAAAAAAAAATTAAATCTTTACGGCATAAACAGAAGTGAATAATTTTAACATAAAAAAATGGCTAATATTTCATTCGAATGATCTACGAACGGCACGCAATTGAGTTAAGATCACATCGAATAAATAACTTCAGTTCTTTATTGTAAGTTGTTTTTAGTTTTTATTTTGTTAACAATTTGATTAAAAAAAGTTCTTATAGCGTAGACAGAAGTCAAAAATGTTAACATACAATTACAATTTTGCTAATTTGTTTATAGCATCGTCCACTAAACAAATTGCACCAATGTAATGTATATAAATGTAATTTCGCACCTTCTTTGTAAAAAAATCAATTTTAGAACAATTTAAAAGTATATATAGTCAGACAATAATATAAAAATAATCATGAATTATCTCGTAATTGATATCAAATCTTGCTGAATCTAATATAAATTTGGCTTGTAGTAAATTTGTTAAATGCTTTTCAAATATTAAATTACATTGGACTTTATTATGTATGATGTAAAGTATTATTTCCTAAATCATTCAATAGATTCTGATACCGTGTGCAAGGAAAGTGTAAATACAATATGCATCATCTAAGATCGGATTTTTTACCATAATTATAAGAATTAAGAGTACATGCCTCAGAACTGATCTTTTTTTACGAGGGAATATTTTCAAATCAAAAGTCCTACTTTTAAGAGAGGGTGTGGACGGATACTGTGGGACTTTTATCCCCAAAAGCACTCCGATTCCACTCAAACCTAAGAAATGACCTAAGTCAAGTCAAATGATCCGACACTTTTCGGTTCATGGTCATTTTATAAACAAAAACCTAAAATTTCGAATAATAAATAAATATAATAAATATCTAAGCACCACATACGGTCATTATAATAATAGAAGCAAAGTAAAGACATTTATTTTTTAATTCTATCCTAATATGTATTTGTTACAGTTTAGCTCTGATGTAGGTACGTTATGTGTATTTGAAAAGCATCCACATATGAACTTCCAATTTGTCCAAGAACCGAATAAATTAGGTCTTTAAATACTGATTTATTAATCAATAGTTATTATTTGCCCAAGACAATATAAATATTTATTAACTAGGGTAAACATAGTATAATCTGCACTATGCTATAACCACAGCGAGAATTTATTCAAAAGACAGTATGTAGTGTGATTAGAAACTTACAAATAAAATAAATACAAAACAAATAGAATATTCTAAATATTTTATATACAAAATTAGATATTGTATTTGTTTATAATACGGCAATTACAACATTATGCTTCATCTCTATTCGTCGTATCTTAAAACAATTTACTCGGTTCGGATTGACACCGAGACTGCAAATTTGCCAATAATAACCTATTTCTACGATATTAAACTTCCTAACTAATGATAAGAACCAACTTGGGGCCATATCTAGTAACTATCACGTGAATTTGGTGATCCGTCGACCTGTCCCCGTGTTAAAACTAGTCACACTTGTGAAATTCCCCATCCCTAGCGTAACATGACATATTTTGAAATTGGAACTCTGTTAATAATTATTTCGTGTTTTAATACATAGATACATATATTCAAATTTGGAATATGACGTCACAAACGTTTAGGAATCCTCCCACTGCTTTGTCACATAATGTCACACTTTGTCGATCCCTTCTCACTTGTGACAAATTCCAATTATTTTAAAATTATAACTATTTTTGTTAATAATTTTGTGTTTTATTACATTGATATAGTTGAATTAGAAATGTGACGTAATGAAATTTAGGACTCTTCCAACCCTTCTTATGTCATAATGTCACACTTTGTCGATGTCACGATCACATGTGACTTAAGTATTTTATGAATGGCCCCCTTATATTAAATATCTTACACAAATATTGTAATTATAAATATTAAATGTAAATTAAGTCTAACATTGGTTCCGGGACTGGACTGAATTCGGTGTCCACTTCATCTGGTTTGAAATGTAAAATTTTGTAGCGTATACATAAGGAACATTGTGAATCTATTATATATAATTTTAGCATACGTTGCCAAGGAAATTGAACGAGTTTTATATTAGTAATATAAACGCCAATTTATAAATACTAAATGTATATATTTCACTTTAAAATCACATAATTATTTTGGTATAAGTCAGCCATTGTACTCATTAATTTCTTAAGATATTGGTATTCTTTTAAGTTTCTATTTACTGTACTATAATTTGTTAAAATTTAACTATTTATATTGATGATCTACGGTGTGCTCTCTCGCGATTAGACATCCACAAATGAGACTTTGCGATAGCTTATTAGAATTATGATTTATTGATCAAGATTTTTATTATTGTTCATGAAGAAATTATTGTCTCTAACGTTAAGATGAATTAACAATCAAAGAAGAATGACCAAGGACGCTTCCTGATTTGCCGATACGATATTGTTACTCGGTAAGTCGAAATTCCGTTCAATATAGAACTGGTAAACAAGGAAGTGTCCTAATCATTCTGCTATTGGATTTATGTGCTATTATTATTAGGAAAAACGGCGCTATTCTATTGTGAAAATAATCTGTTATATTGTGTAATTTATTTCTCTTAAATAGTCATGATTCACGAAAACAGATTAAATTGTTGTCGGTTTTTTGTTATTTTCTTAATGACCAGACAATATGTTATAACATCTTAATGTAATGTCACAGACAAGAGAAGTATCTTTAATGACCCAAATGCGGCCGAGTGTCGGGACATATGAATCTGAGCTTTAAGCATCTCCACTAGAGAGCTATGTGCCGTATTTAAAACTTCTGTAATATACATTAATGAATTTTTTTATGTAGTGTAGCTGACAAATTGTACACAATAAAAGTATTATGGAGAAGGGCTCGTGTTTTATTTATAACAACTAATTATTTCAATAATACCAATATTGAATTAAAGATTATTTTGAGAGAACTATAACACTGTAGATAGATATAAAAAACCGGTGTCCAGATTAAAAATATATTGGCAAGAACTGGAATATATTATATTTTTTGTATAATCGTTCTGAAATATGTAAACTACATGGAAAGATGTAATTGTACTCATACTGTCCTAGGAATCTAACAGTGATATTTTATAAGTTACAGAAAAAACTTAAATTATTTTATAAAGGTGTTTTACAAAAAAATATTATATCACTGCTATTAGAGAAATGCCCGTACACAATTGACATTTTTTATAACAACTTGAAACTCTATACCTAACATCAATATTCAAACATAACCGTATATTGTTCAGGAAAAAGAAGTGTCAACATTTTTATCGAACCGGTAAAAATAAGATACCGTTTACAGTCTGAAAAGCAAAACCACTGGAATCTAAATACTACACAATGCATATATGTCGAAACAAACCTAGTTTCGGCATGGATTTGTATCATAAAAAGACATATTATAAAAAGCACTTTTATTTACAGAGACTAGTATGCATACCTGTACAACATAATAATAATTCCTTACAATAAATAAAATAAATACAATACGACACTTAATTCTGAAGCACCATTATTATCTATTATTGCACAGATTACAAAAAAAAAACATGACGTATGAAAAGAAGTTATGGTATCTACAATGTAATACTTCTTATATATATTTTTAATTAATTAATATTCAATTAACTGTGTTTACGATCGCATGAGTAGATTAAAATAATGGTGCAAAAAAAATCACGTAATATTGACTCATTAATTAAAATGTTAATTTTTTTTACACAAAAATAGGTATAGGCCAGTATAGTGTAAGGTTATAACTAGTTCAAATAAAGAGAATAATCATAATAATATAATTAAAAGATCTTAATAATTAATACATTTGTCATTATTATATTGATTGTAGTGTTTTACTTAACTATTTTGCATAAGCGAATTATTGACAACAGTTGTTGATAAAAAAAAGCGCGGGAAAGTCGGTAAAATTCTACCGCCATATTGAAATGTTCTAATTGAGAGTTTCATAAGTGAAAACAAGATACTTTTTTTATAATATCAAATAGCACCTTGTCAATTACTATAAGCATATTTTATTTATGATACGTTGCCAATTCTATTAGCTTAAAATTATAACAATTGATTTCAATAATGTATAGCACATTTTATTTACTAAACGAGATCACTCATTCATTTGCCAAATCTTTAACACTCTTTAGAGATAATAAATAAAATGCAATAATTTATAAACAGCTTATGTCTAGTAGTACATAACAATGACACTCTTTATCTGTCCGTTTCAACGCTTACTTCTAAATTACTTAACGGATTTTTATACTGTTTTCACTATTATATAGAGAATTACTTCCAGAAGTTTTGTATGTATTATACAATACATAAGACTCGTGAAAACCAAAGGTGACAGTTATGAAGTAAAGCTATTAATTTTGTAATTTAAAATATCTTTCTCTTTTGATACACTTTAATTATTATTTTTTACAAATATTCCAGTTTTCTTATTTCTTTATTGGAGTGTAGATTTGTTATTTTACTTTCTTGTTCATAATAAACAAAACTAAGCTAAAATATCAGAACAGACTTATCTCTCATAAAAACATACTTTTCTTTATATAATCGGTCAAGTAGTGTCAATTCTAGACTTTTTTACTTATAAATATAATTTGAGAGAATACCAGTGTAGTTTCCTTGCTCTACATATATCCTGGTATGTAAGAAGTGTAGATGCTCTATTATAATTAAGACAAATTATGTAAATGTTTTATTAAGGGATTTGGGCTAGTACTACTATTGGGCACTACGCTTTTTTGGAACTAGCATTGCGACCTACAGTGATTTTATTATGCTTGCCCTTTTCTTCATAGTTCTCTAGCTAATCCTTACTTAATTTGTAATGTCCAGTGAGGGTCCTAGTGATAGCATATCTTGTTCTTTACTAAATAGCATTAGTCTATTATACGTGTAGACACACGATTTGAAACAAAATCTATATTTATGTACTGAAAATTATTTTAAACTAAGTAGTGTTGAAACAATAATTTTTCATTTAGCCATCGTGACCTATACTAGAACATAATTACACGATATAAAACTAAATGCCCTGTAATTTGAGCAATCTAACGAAACGGGCTAGATGTAAAAAGATACGGAACTAAGAAAAAAGATACCTAATATCTAAAATACTTCAAATTTCTTCAGTATGTCAGATACCATATTTTTATGATAAACAATAAGTTCTAAATTATAAAATAAATTTTGCCTGTAACCCAAAATATATATTGTTAACTAACTTTCAACCCTGTCAATTTTACGATAAAAGTTAGGCGGAAAACCATAGCTAATTTAGGGCGGGATTAGATAGTAAAAATTAACATAGTAACTACAGAGATGTATAAAATTAGAGAGAAAATTTAAGAGATGATAGTAACTACGTAGCAAATATACTTTTAATCGAACTTTTAAAAGAAATAAATTTTCACGAATAAAGATAAACCTATTTATTATTATTAACCCACACAAAGACAATGTACTGATTAATATTATCAAGGCACATTAAAAATTAGTGAAATCCTTCGCTTAGGCTTACGCATGTGAACTAGACAGGCGTTCACTAAAGAAAGTAATAAATGTACTATTAATTACTCGTAAATTCTTTATCTTTACCTATAAGAGATCTTAACACGTTAATAATTTGATTCACTATTAGTCAAGCGTCCATTTCGTATTTTTAGAAATCGAAATACTTAATTTCATCTCACTGACTTTTGAAAAGCAATTGACTACATCAGCAATAATGTTATAAACATATATAGTAAATCCTTATTACATGGCTTCATATTTCATTGATACTGTATTTGGGCCCGGCTTAAATTTACATTAAGCGCTTCCCACTTGGAAATCTTTTACATTCCATTTGTGGATTAAAATGTGAGTCCATAAGGTTTCTATTCTAGACCCACGTGAATATATTGTGTTAATTTTGAATATCCTATTTGAAAGTAACATTTTTGTCTTCAATAATTTAATTGTATATTTAAATAACTATGTACAATTTTATTTAAATATTTAGGATTATAATGGTTTACCATCATCATTTCAAATATCATCTATGCTAAAGTGTTCAAGAGTATTTTTACATTTTTGAGCATATTGTGCAAAAATTTAATAATACACGGCTTTTCAAAAGCCTTTTATTGTGTTTGTTAACTATTAATTACTATAATAATGGACAGTTTTAAAACGCTATTAAACAACCTAAGAGTTGGAGTACTTCAGGGGCCAATTTTGGGTCCTCAACTCTTAATTAATCCGAGTTTAAAAAAACTCAGTGGGGTCAATCCCACTGAGTTTTTTACCACTGAGTCATTCTATAACAATTTAGTAACCACAGATTAAAATACCATAATTTCACTTCTAGGCACATTTGTTAGGTTATCGTCTATGGTAAGGTACATGTTAAATGAGAAAAACATGGCGGCTGATGACAGAAAGTGCCAAATGTCGTGTGAATCGTACAGTTGTAGTAAAGAACAGACGCGGTTGTTGCGCCTCGACTGAGCTGGAGTTAGCTGAAAAAGATGATCAATATTTATGATTGATATAAATCCATCAATTTCTGTACATACTTTGGATCTTTTACTACTCTATATTCTGTTCCCATTATCCACCAAACCTGGGGGTAGCAGTAACAAAAAGTGCAGTCATCTACATCACCAAAGTGTTCGATATTAAAAGTGGAACGGTTACGCGTATTTACCACCTACACGCGGGGGCTACGTGAACCAAGTTTGTAGGAACAACGTGAAAATATAATGCCTCAAAACTTGATGTAAAAGATGTTTTGAAAACAGGTGTGTAAAATCGTAAAAAACTACACTTACCGCCCAATTGGTGCTCTGGTCCAAATAGAAGTAGCTCGAGCCGAACCAAACCGTATATGTAACTGCTATGAACACCCAACTGAAAGTACACAAGTAAATATCTAATTAATCTCTATGAGTATGGTATGCACACACAACACTTCCGTATATCCGAAGTTGCGGATTTAATTCCTCGCACGGTACAAAAAGAAAGAAAAACAGTAATTAATTAATTAACAAAAAGCGGTCTTATCGCTATAAACAGTAAATAGTAAAGTACATAAGCTATAAGCAATTTATTACAGACAACCTAGAACCTAGACAAGTCCTCTCGACTTAGGTACATAGAATAGTTAAGTGGAACACATAATTCACTATATTTACTGAACTAATAAATATATACAATATATTGGAAGATATCAGAAAAAAAACAAAGAAAAACATGAACTATGAAGAGAGTTGATGAGATCTTAGTCTATTTTTAAGCTCAATTCACTTAGAAACTAGATGGCGTTGTAGTCAATAAATCTGCGTTAGCGGGGGACGCTGGCGAACGGTTGCTGTTAACAATAACATATTACTTTAAGCATACTGGTTGATACTGCAACGTTACCTGTACCACCGGATGGACTCTCTGTGCAGCAGCTTCATGACGATGTAGAACAGCGTGTATAGGAACAGGTTGCTCATCAGCACCAGCAGCAGGTGAGAAGCGAAGTCACGACTGTGCTGCGCCACACTGCGCCAATACAATTAGATCAAGTCACTATACTCTGTTTTTTCTTTTATTTTGAATGGCTTACACTAAATGAGGTCGGTGATTTTGCCAACGTCGTGGACTCTGTTTTTTAATCACGGAGACAAATTTGACATTATCTATGATGTCAGCTTTTGGCAAATTTGAAAGTATTGTAGCTTAATCGGAAATTAATATATATTACCGAATAGAACTATTTATTCAAATAATGTTTAAATATACCAATTTTTACACCAACTCATATGTGTTGTGAGTTGGTGTAAAAATTGCTATATTATATATAGTATAGTGGTCACTACACTCAGCATTGAAATATAAATAATCTTTATTCAAATAAACTCAGTATAAGCACCTTCGAATAGTCATATTTTTTTTATTCTACCACACATTACGGAACGTAGATCATTACAAGAAGAATGAACAAAAACTTTTGTGGTACTCTATGAAATAAATGTTGTTCTAATATATTGAGAATAATTGGTGTACGAGTATTACACACTTTGTATATGCACATTTCGCTGACCAAAATAATTTTTTAAGATCTGACGGCTACCCGAGTGTATATCGGCGGCCTTATACGGACCCGTATGCGGCGATGGCCCAGTTGGCGAGGTTGGCGAGCAGCAGCAGCACGCCGCGGCCGCAGTGCGTGGGCGTGATGGCGGCCAGCGGACGCCGCGACACCTCCCGCGCCGCGCGCCACACCACCCCGCCCTCTGCCGGCCGCCACACGTTACATCACGACCACACACACTATTTGACACCCTCACTAGTCTAGCGGTTCGATTCCTCGCACGGTACGGACATTTGTATTCATGAGCATGATTGTTTGTATCGGTCTGAGTGTTTTCTATGTATATTATGTAGCTATTAAAAAAATGTATGTATTTATATCAATGTCTAGTACCCATAACACAAGCTCTACTTAGCTTGCGACTAGATGACGTTGTGTAAATTGTTCAGGAGTATTATTATTATCATTTAATCTATAAATAAATTGTTTCTTTGAAACCATTATATACCATTTACTTCTGTCTTTTCTCCTTTACCTAAAGGATCGCCTCAGCGATAAGACTGCCTTTTATACATTACAACTTTAGCTGCTCCCGACATTCCCAAAAATTGTGTATATTTACACCATATACTAACATTTGAGAAACTGCATCCCGGCCTAAAAATATACATATTAAGGCCAGAAGAAAAACGTCAGTCTCACTCAGTTGTTCTTCTCACCCCCCACCACCCCGGGCCAGAAGCAAGAAAATGAGCTGGTTTATCCATGTAAATGAAGAATCGTGCTGTCCTAGTCAGAGACATTGTCTATTGTTGAATTCATAGTAAATATATTCCACTGAATTATAAACGCAAGCTTACCCCATTTGAACCTTCCAAGATAGTATATCTGGAAGGTCATGAAGAGGCATGTGACCAGGTGCAGTATTGTGAACGCGATCCAGAAGTAGAAGTTCGCATTCAACACGCCCACGAGCCCTGCAATTTCAATAACATATACATCTCATTTTTATTTAAATTATAAGTTGTTATTTTTTTTTTTATAAGACAGGGGACAAACAAGCAGTCGGCTCACCTGATGGTAAGTGATTACCGCCGCCCATGAGCACCCGCAACACTAGGGGAATTGCAAGTACGTTGTCGGCCTATTAAAACGGAATAAGCTCTTGAAGGTTTCAATATCGTATCGGTTCGGAAATACCATTGCTGGAAGGTGATTATTATTGTAGTTGTATTCGGGTGACCGATTAACCGACTGTATATCAGCAACCTTACCGTAGTCATTCACATTGTATTAGGACGAGCGGATATTTTGTATGACTCCCGTTCGATTGGCGCATTTCTAAAGTGTTCGTATCGAAGCAACCAAATATCCCAATCGATAGAAAACCGTTTAGGACAACCGTCCGATTGAATCGATTTATGTGATTATAAGTATAATGTAAGTAGTATGATAACAATTAACCTGTTTCAGATTTTTTCCTTTATATTCACCTAATTACCTATCTGCATGCCAAATTTGAACTTCCTAGGTCATCTGGAAGTGGGTTATAATTTTGATCTATAGTTGATCAGTGATAAAAATGACGATTTTTGGACATTAATATCTAAATAACCGTTTGAGATATGTTTATGAAATTTGGAACACATATTTATCTCACAAGTCTCAATATATGTACCAAATTTGACAGGTTTGTGTGAAAGAGTTTTTGAGTTATGAGGGGGTCAAAAGTGGCTCCAAATGGTTCGTGTAAATATACACACGGTGCTGCTTGCCAGTTTACTTGAAACTCGGCTTTGACACGCTACCGCGTGTCTAGATATAAACAAATAGGATTGCTAATAGCCTGCAACTATACAAAGATATGTTTCTAATTATTAAAATGGCCATTATTATTAAAAACTATAAAAAGAATAGGTAAATAATGTTTCTATCAAGAAGATTATGCTAGCTTGAAAAATAAATTAATATCTACTGTACATCTTAATCTTAATATAATAAACGCGAATGATTGTGAGTATGAATGTTTCTTACTCTGGAGCCGTTCAAGTATTACGTAAGCACTAAAGGGGGCGGGGCGGTCTAAATGATGATTACGTCATCGGTAGTCATTTACTTTTTTACATGAAATACAACATTCGCATTGTCTTCACTTAAAAAAACAACAATACATTAATTGAAAAATGTGCACGTAAGCCTTGGGGGAGGGGGGTAAGAGCTTTGCTTACATTTACCGGCAAGGGGATGGGAGGTTAAATAATTGTAATAAATCTACTTACGTAATACTTGAACCCTCTTTCACGCAGAAACTACTACGGATTTTGATGAAACTTTACAGTAATACTGTCTATATATCAGAATAACACATAGGCTATACATTTCACGCAGGTGAAACCAGCAGATAACTATAGCAGATTATTAACGTACATAGAACGCTGTTAAACTCGTGCTTTCTTTTACAGTACAAGTGAATTTACCTATAAATATGATGAGCGCCAATACTCCGAAGGTGGCGTGAGCGCGTGCGTTGATATCCGGATGTCGAGCCTGGTATATCTTGACCATACACAGCACTGATGTCACGTACATGAACGACGTGTCTGCAACAATCAACCACGTGCATGTAGATCATTTTTTTTTATTTGAGGATTTGTGCTATTGTCAGGTTAGTTTGATTAAGGTTACTGTTTCACGTAGACGAAGTCGTACTGTATATAAAATACTAGCTACTCGCGCCGGCTTCGCTAAGCTGTACATGTATTATATATATAAACCATCCTCTTGAATCACTATTTATTATAAAAAACAGTTCAAAATCCGTTGCGTAGTTTAAAGATTTAAGCATACATAAGGACAGACAGCGACAGCGACTTTGTTTTATACTATGTAATGATTAGTAACTTTTTTATTATTGTCTATCAGTATCTCTTTGGATCCTGGAGATATTTGACGCCCGTGACTTGTGACACGGGTGTAGGTTTAAAAGGCCCTTTTAGAATGCATTAACACTCACCTTCACTACTTGCAGCTTCCCCCCAGGCCCAACTAAGTTCGGGATCAACCCATTTCTAATACAATTCACTTTAGTATCCAAAACACAACCGGCACGCTCTGCGCTCGTCGACTGAGTGCCGCGCCTCACCCAACGAAAGAGAATTATTCAACTACCCACCTCCGTATTTATAGAGCGAAGTCAGTGTAGTAGGGAGAGGAGCGGGGGTAACGGTTATCGTATGACAAACAAATTAGTTCCGTCTATAAATACTAGATGGCGCTATTTACAATATTTATACTAAACACAAAGTACCCTCTAATAATATCTTTTTAAAATATCGTATTTTCCTACAATATTGATGTGAACCCTAACATATAGTCTTAGTAATTAGTCTAAGGTAGAGTAAATCAAGATGTAACAGTTAATACACAAGTTCCTAATGTGTTTACTCTCACCACCGCTCCAGTCATCAAATACTAACCAAACTGGAAGTTCATGCTGTTGGGGCAGACGTGGTACGCAGCAGACAGTAGACCCTCGCTGACCAGCGCCACTCCCATTGCGTACAACAGCCCAAAGTGCTGCGGGATGCCCAGCTCCTTCTACCAACACAATACCACAGCTCCATTAACCATCACTTTACCACACGGAAACTCAAGTGGCTTAAGTAATTAAAAATATTTGTTTTAATTTATTTTGTTAGACAAGTAACTTTTTATTTACTTCTATCAACTTTGCTATTTCGCAGTTTGTTTTCACACAAAATCTAACGTTTATCCGTAACGTAAATCTTGATGGCCTCGGTGGTTAAGCGGTTACTTCTAATGGCCGCGGGTTCAATTCTTCGCACGGTACGAACATTTGTATTTATGATTATGATTGTTTATTTTCTATGTATATTATGTATGTTTTAAAAAAAAAAGTATCTATGTATGCATATGGTCTAGTATCCATAACAATCTCTGCTTAGATTGGCACTAGATGGCGTTGTGTAAATTGTCTAGAGATATTATTATTATTATTATGTATAATATATAAAACTATTATTCTTTTACTATATAATGCAGATAAAAACATATTCTATCCTATATAAACCTCAAACTGCAGATTTCGCTTTATGTTTATTGATAATTAATATGTAATTATAATTAACATGTAACTAAGTATTCTCTTTTATTAAAATAAATATATTCAAATAATAAATTCAAATTCAAAATATATTTATTAATGTAGGTCTATTACAGACTCTTATGATATGTCAAATCTACAGTCAGTATAAATTTATAAGCAAATTAATTCTATTAAAAAAATATTTTATATAGTTACTGACCTCAACTGCAGACTTCGCTTTATGTTTATTATGGCGACGCCACACCAGCATCAAGAACAACAGTCCGAGCAGTACGTAGCCCAGATTCGAGTATACGTGGTTGAAATCTGACAGTACCATGAGCGGATGTGCGCACAAAAAATTGAAGTAGCATAGATCTTGGTTTCCAGATTGATTGAGCAACTGAAATCAATGAAACAATAGTTTATTTAACTACAGTAATCAACATACAATTAAGTACTTTTTTAATTTTAACTAGATGTACACGCGACTTCGTCCTCGTGGAATTTAACTTTACTTTTCTAAAATAAAGGTAGCCTAAGTTACTCTTTATTACATCAGCTACCTGCCAATAAAAGTCCCGTCAGAGTCGGTCCAACCATTTCAGAGATTAGCCGGAACAAACAGACAGACAAAAATTGTATAAAATGTTATTTTGGTTTATGTACCGTAATTATAATCATATGCATGTAGTAAAAAACGGTTATTTCAATATTGCAAACAAACCCTCCAATTTTATTTATAAGTATAGTTCGGGCTATTCTCGAGTGCTTGGACCTATAGCACTGCGACCTACATAGATCTATTGTGCTCGCCCTTTTTCAAAGTTCGCTACCTAGACCCGTCAGGGACAAGAATTGAAGGATATTCTTAGGAGCGATGGTTTTTATCTCCTCAGGAGAGAGTGTAAACTTTCCAAAGGAGATATTACGTTTATGCATGAGTGGGCTACAACCACAACGAAATAAGTAAATTAAGTACTTCCCATACTTGTTAGTTGTTTATAAGCTTTTTAAATTTGTGGTACAACTTACATGCGTGTATTCACTAGAATACAATACAACAAATAACTAAATACCATTGTAGTGTTTTGTACTATGTGCGCTGTAGCACGGTGCGGATGACAGTTTCGTTTCACTCATGAATGTTGCCGCGATTTACAAATTATGACTTAGTATTTTAGCTGTATCACATTCGGAATATATTAAGGCCCGAAGCTGGTACTTCGCACGGGTGGAAATTTTTATATTTTTAATTCTTCTTCTAGCAACCTCTACCTCGGCAAGCGGCTTTGTAAGTTTCTTTAACAATTTCATCAACTGTTTTTAAGTCCTGAAACTATGTTGGGCCACGTACATGAAGAAGAAGTGCAATATGCCTATGTTACTCAGGCTTTCTAATGGTGAATGAAGTTTTAGAATCGGCAAAGTAGTTTTTGAGTTTATTCATCACAAACATACTTCTTCTACTTTCCTCGTTATAATATTAGTATAATAATAATAATCTCAGGACAATTCATACAGCGCCATGTAAACCCAAGTTAAGCTAGCTAAAGCTTGTGTTATGGGTCCTAGACAACTGATACAAATACATAGATAATTTTTTTTATAATAAATACATACATATTATACATAGAAAATACCCAGACCGATACAAACAATCATACTCATGAATACAAATGTTTGTGCCGTGCGAGGAATCCACCCGCGACCATCGGACGTAAAGTATAGATTAATAACTGTAGTAACTTAAATTTAGCAACTGTTAATTGAAGCAACTGTCCCCACCATGCTACAGCGCACATAGTATAATAATTATAAATGTAATATCTTATAGTCGTTTTGTACTGACAAGGAAACAAGTAGACATATATTCGTATTTATAATATAAGTATAGGATTTTACGATCATACCCTTTGATATGTGACGACTAGCTGTATAACTGGGAGCGTGTAGAACACAGCCACTGTGAGGACATTCCACAAGTACATCTTCGAACGCGCGGACAACACGCGGGGGCGGCATCTGTATTAATTGTAATAATCTTAGGACAATTCACACAGCGCCATCTAGACCCAAGGTAAGCTAAGGCTTGTGTTAGTGGTACAAATGATGATAATAATGATAATGATAATCTCAGGACAATTCACACAGCGCCATCTAGACCCAAGTTAAGCTAGCTAAAGCTTGTGTTATGGGTATTAGATAACTGATACAAATACATAGATATTTTTTTTTTCGTAAATACATACATATTATACATATAAAACACCCAGACCGACACAAACAATCATACTCATAAATACAAATGTTTGTGCCGTGCGAGGAATCGAACCCGCGACCATCGGACGTAAAGCAGTGTGCTAGACCGCTAGACCACCGAGGTCGTCATACATAGATTGTTTTTCGAAAATACATACATTTTATACGTAGAAAACGCCAGACTGATACAAACAATCATACTCATGAATACAAACGTTTGTACAAGGAATCGAACCCGCGACCATCGGAAGTAAAGCTAGACCAGCGCATTAAATACACGCGGTTTTCTACACTCGCAGCCTGAGTCGAGTCACAACGCGGGTTTCAATGCTGTTGTAGCCTGGGTGCCCACCAACTGACCGCCTTCATGAAGGAGGACTACTGGCCGATGGGGACGGTCCAGGAGATACCGTGACAGGATACGCACTGTCTTGATGAACGACGAAGACTCACTTTATTAGGTATAGCAACGTGGAAAAAAGACGGACGTGTAAAACTTATACTGTTTATATATGTAATACGTTATGTTATTCATTATTATTAATTTATACAGTTTTATACTTCTGTGAATATCATCGTTTCTTTAGTAAATTAGTACACATGTTTTCTGTATTAGGTAAATAAAAAAATAAATAAATAAATAAATTTGTCATTATTATTATTATGTTTTTTTTCTCTTCTATTCTAGTGTGACCTTTTGTCTTTTCTCCTCTACCCAAAGGTTGCCTGGAAGAGGTTGCATAAGCGATAAGACCGCCTATTGTACCCTTTAATTTTAATTACTCTATTAATGTAATTTTCCTGTTGCAATAAAGAGTATATAAATAAATAAATAAAATAGGACGGGTGATAAAAGATGGACGTAAAATGATTCATTAACATCTTGCCAATATTATTTAAATAAAATGTTCAGTTTTCTCCGATCTACCGAACCACATCGCATCATTTGCCCACGCCATTAATAGCAAAAGGTTGCTCAAATCCGGCTCCATTAGGACCAGTTCCATATATTTACGCTTTTAACAAACTTCTTTCTGTATTTGTAGAGAACAAAATATAATATTTACAGCTATTTAGCACATACCTGGCTAAGTTAGCTACACACAGCTTCCCGCCGACTAGGTACACATCCTTATCAGTATTTGCGTCATCCATTGTTGAAAAATCTGACTCTGTATCCGACGAGGAACTGCAATCTGCAAAATACCACTTTAATTACTATACAAAATCAATTATACTTAAAGATCTTGGCCTGTTATATTTCAAGTTATATACTAGAACGTGTATCTATGTAATCTTCTACCAATCTTGCCTCCCAAGGGACACCGTCCTTAGTACATCGCAACGAAGTGAGAGCGCCATCTGTGATGCGCTATAAGAATCTTCTATTGCGCCCGGTCAGTTTAGTAAAAAAGACGGTTTATTATTTTTAACTTAATTGAACTTTCTTTGTCTTTTAAAAAAACCTATCACCGACCGTCAGAACTTAATGAGGCATTAAATATTATCATATATGCCGGTAACTATATATATATATATTGTTTACTAGCTAAGCCCGCGGTTTCACCTGGGTTTAAAACATATTTGTTTTTAATATCCTTTGTTCATTCGAATACCACAAGTTCTTGGACATGTGTACAAAATTTCATGATCGGTTCAGTAGTGTTAGCTTGATAGCGTAGCAAACATCCCTTCACATTTATAATATTAGCAAGGATAGTTTTCACTAATGTTTATTTTGTATTAGTCAATATTGTGTTTAATTATGTTTAATTTTTTTCTCTTTATTTATTTAGGAGCTTAGCTCACTGTTGTAGTGAGCATGTTAGCTCTTAATGTAATAAATGTTGACTTCTTAATCAATTACACACTTACTAATTAAAATGACTATAAAAACAAATATTACCTACTTTTATCTCCAAATTTATAAATTAGTACCAATTGTTTTGATACAGGTTATTCTGATAAAATACTCTGAAAGATTCCTAATTATATTATTTGTAATTCTTAATGAGAATAAATATTTAAAACCTAGACCTATATACCGTCTGATTTACTTGATTAGATTGCGAACAAACATACCAATTTGTGCTACATCCCCTTCACCAATAAGGCAACGTTGCGACGAGGTCTCCCCACTGCTGGACATAGCGCTGTTCCCACTGATCACGTTAACGCGACGTCGCCGCGTCGTCACGTTCGCAGCGTCGTGCGGGGTCGACGGCGACGTGATTAGTCCTTCTACAATTTTATACTTTTTAAGATACAAGAAATTAAATGTATATGTAACATATAGCTACATAAATAAGTTTTTTTTCTAAGTGAAACTTAACTTAAGTCGTCTGCATTAGTACTGCTATCACGTTTATTTCTAACGCTAAGCAAGCTTGCTTTATAAGCTATATTTCGGTTTGATTATAAGATAAATAAATAAGGACAACCTATTTATAAAATAAAAGGATTTATAAATAAAAGAGGACACTTAAATAAATTACTAAAATAGAACAAAAATAGAATAGAAATCATAAAGATAATTTCTATTCTATTTTTGTTTACAAATTTTTATTCTACCAATACTTTCGGAATGCAGATTCAGCCAATAAGAATGGGATATACTCGGAATCATACTCGTGAACTTGTGGGAACTGGTATGTTCAGGTTACGAACGCTGATTAGATTTTTGTTTTTGCAATAGCATATGCTGGTGGTCACTTTATTCTCCCAAATTTGAATTTAAATGAATCTGTATTCGAAACATGTACAACATTTATTTGAAAAGAATACGAGCTGATTTTCTTATCAGTTCTCATCTCCAAATCATTCCGAACTGACGGTATATTTGATATCATAAGAGTCTGTAATAGACCTATATAAAGATAATTTTACACAACAACAACAGTAGGTTATAAAAATGTACACGTTTCTGATCTATGCAAATAAATAATAAAATATTTGTTTGTAACTTCAAATTAACAACTTTTCACTATATAAATATATATATAAGTACAAACGGTGTTTTAGTTGAAGTGAGAATAGGCAATGAAATTATAAACATTATAACTGACGGCAGATTTGACATATCATAAGAGTCTGTAATAGACCTACATGAATAAAGATATTTTGAATTTGATATTTTATTTAGAGACAGTAGGAAGTGGTAACCACGCCTATACATGAACTACGGACTACATTATCATATGACACCCGTGATACCACTCGTGCGTGACCATTCCAGAGTATTGACATGTCATGCCTCTTATGCTGTAATTTCATTGCCTAATCTGCACCCTACAACCAATGACATGAACGGTAACCTCACCTTCAATCTGGCTGGTCTCCGATTCAGTGGTGACCATCATTTCTGTGACAATGTATGAGCTAGTATCGTACATTATTTTGCAACACTATCATTTAATTTTATTTTTTCATCAAAAGTAAGTTCGCATTTGGTCATGTAGAGCGTAATATTATTATAATATTATATATAATCAATATCTATAATTATTTATTTTTATTTTATATATATATATACATAAGTAAAAAGTACATATGGCGGACTTAACACCTAATGGCATTTTCTACCAGTCTACCGTGAGTTGTGCAGAGATAAGTAGTTGCAAATAATATTATAATATTCTTATTATTATTATATATATAATAATATTATAATCATTAGGCATGCATTTATGTATTATCAAATAATACATAAATGCATGTCTAATAATTATTATAGTGATTACAGCAGACAGTGTAAACATATTACAACGTAGTAATTGATACAAATATATATATGTGGAAAGAGGATTTATGCATTTTATTTTTATTATAGTTTTATTTAAAAAAAAAGAATAGAGTAGAAGAGAACGACGTAAGACGATATAGGACAATTTTAAGACGTAAACAAATAATTAAATATTATAAGACTTTTCTTCTAGTCCCACTCGCGATAATCCCACATATATATATTTAGTATTGTAGTAAAATGAAGAGACTTAAGGCTACAGAGAAAAATATATAAATGATAATATATGTAGGTATACAAAGATACATATCAAGATAATATTTCCGCAATCTTCGCTAGAAAAAAAATATTTTATCAGAATCGTTATGGTTTCGGTACAATCCGAACAGACACAATATCTCACCTTCAGTCTGGCTGGTCTCCGATTCAGTGGTGACCATCATTTTCTTCCTCTGACACAGTATCACTATAATAAACGCCACGTAGAATGAGAGAAAGAACCCGAGCGCCGCACCCGCTGCTATTGCGTATTCTTGATACGATATTGTCTCGATTATTTTAAAACTGCAATAGAAATAATCTTTATTCAAATAAACTCAATACAAGCATTTTTGAATAGTCATATTTTTAGGCCGAGGCCTCTATTCCACGTAGACGAAGTCGTACTGTATAGAAAATACTAGTTACTCGCGCCGGCTTCGCACGGCTGTACATGTATTATATATATAAACCTTCCTCTTGAATCACTCTATCTATTAAAAAAACCGCTTCAAAATCCGTTGCGTAGTTTTAAAGATTAAAGCATACATAGGGACAGACAGCGACAGCAACTTTGTTTTATACTATGTAATAATGATTAGTAACTTTTTTATTATTGCTTATCAGTATCTCTTTGGAGCCTGGAGAGATTTGGTTGCATGAAGCATTCCTAGTGGTCACTACACTTAGCATTAAAATAGAAATAGAAATAATCTGTATTCAAATAAACTCAGTATAAGAACTTTTGAATAGTCATATTTTTTTATTCTACCCCACTCAGAACGCAGACTCATCACAAGAAGAACAAACTTGTGTTGCTCTTTTGAATAAATGTTATTTTAAATAAATAATCACACATTAACAGGTAATAGGCATGCGATACACAACATAGAAACCGCTACGCACTCATTCTTCGTACAATCAGATAATATTGTCAGCGCTATGAATTTCAAGTTTTTTCTACAAAAACATTATTATCATTTACAAACTCATCAATTTTATAGTAATCATTTTTTAATAGTACAATATATAAGTATGCCAGCTGTTTAATTGAGTTTTAAATATTAACCGACGGTCACAGTGGTCTAGCGGTCTAGCACACCGCCTTACTTCGCGGGTTCGATTCCTCGCACGGTACAAATATTTGTATTCATGAGTATAATTATTTGTATCGGTCTGGAATTATCTATGTATTTACAAAAATAAATACTGTATTTATATCACTTGTCCAGTACATAACACAAGCTTTGCTTATTTTGAGACTGGATGGTATTGAATTGTCCTGAGATATTATTATAGGCTACGGTAGCAGTTTACCATCAGTTGGGTCGTATGCCTTATTACCAACAACATAGTACAAAAAAATTACCTAAACGTCTTGACTCGGCCGTCATTGATCTCCACTTCGACGACGCTCTCCTCGCTCCAGCCGAAGTAATGCGCCATGGTCGGTAGTGTACCGTTACCACTGTTCCTCTCTGTACAGTCGTCGTCAGAAGTTTTCACTATAAACACTATGTAGAACCCCATTGGAAATGTGTCTTGCTGCAATGAAACGTAATAATACGGTTACATAATATGATAGAACAGAATACGGTATTCTTACATTACAATACATTATAAAGAAAAAATAGATGCTTTATTTATAATGTATTGTAATGTAATGCAAGAATACGGTATTCTATTCTATAATAGTTTTATAGCCGTATTGTAGTAATCGTCAGTAAATAAGAGGAGACTACGTACCTGCAGACAATCCCCGACAGAAGTTTGTCAATTTTACAATGAAATGAAATAATACAGATATGTAACTATTATAGAATAGAATACCGTATTCTTGCATTACATTACAATACATTATAAATAAAGTACCTACTTAGTAATTATGAGCGAAATATGAAAATTACAACAACAAACCTCGACAGCAGTTTTGCAGGACAGAAAGTCAAATTTATAAAAATTGGGGAAAATTATAAAAAATAAATAATTTTATCTATCTAAACCACCTATTACACTATAAAAATATACACTGAAAATAATTTATAAACAGTTTTTTTTGGTATTGACTGGCGATGTACATTTATAAAATACATTTGTCTGTTTCTATGTTCTTGCTAATCTTCTAAATGTATATTGTTTTTGCTAATCTCTGTAACGACTGAACCGATTTTTAAGGAACTTTTACTTCCAGATAGGTAATGTTATACGGAGTAAATTAGGTTAAGGCTAAGTTAGGCTTTTATTTTAGAAATTTTAATTATTTTAATAAAAAAAAGAGAAGATAGTATATAATATTAATTTGCTGCTTGCAACAGATATAACCACAGACAAACTTACCGTAAGTGTAATGCCACCACGCCGCGTCATTGTTAAATAATATCCATCATACAGTATGTCCCGCTCATTGTCGAATACTGGACACTAGAAAAATACAAAATGGGTTGATTCCACTGAACGATAGGGCATCATTTAACACTGTTATGATAGAAACAGCGTGATATAAAATATAAACAATAATAGCTTGATCGGGCTTCTACTAAATAGGAATCTGAAATGGCGCTGTGTGAATTGTCAAAGATTATTGTTATTAAATTAGCTTACCAGCAGAACATTATTTTAAAGTATAAGTAATTAAGCCCGTGATTTCACCCTCGTGACATTTATTGCCTATGTGTTATTCTGATTTATAGTATATAAGCTATATCAGTTTTAAAGCTTCATTAAAATCTATTCGGTAGTTTTTGCGCGAAAGAGCAACAAACATCCATTATCCATACAAACTTTCCTGTTTATAATATTAATAATACTTATTAATAAAGTCACCTATAAATACCTTTATATATACTCATGATATTAATATATGTATATTTGTATTTAATATATGTTATATAATTTGTATTAGAAACTGTGATCGTTTTTCGTCATAACTCCCCCACAATGTTTTCTATATACATAAAGGTTAGCTGGCGTATAAGCTCGCCATTTTGTACAAATTATACTGTGTATTAAGGAATAAATAAATAATGTATATTAAACACAAAAGTTTAAAAATCTTAAATATATATAACTCAAAGGCAACTGACGTAGTGATCTATCAACGCACAGCCCAAACCACTGGACGGATCGGGCTGAAATTTGGCATGCAGGTAGATGTTATGACGTAGGCATCCGCTAAGAAAGGATTTTGATTAATTCTACCCCCAAGGGGATAAAATAGGGGATGAAAGTTTGTATGAAACTTTGTCAATTTTAAACCGATTGGGCTGAGACTTTGCATGCATAAAGCTACTAGACGTAGGCATCCCCTAAGAAAGGATTTTGATAAATTCCACCCCTATCGCTTTATATATCCCTAGGGGATAAATAACGCGAGCGAAGCCGCGGGCAAAAGCTAGTAATTAATATACATACTGAAAAATTCTGTATAGACACAACCGCGCATATATCGTCTTCTGATTCAATCAGCACTATGACACTCTTAGGCCGCGACATCCAGCCGGACACACTCCTGAAATTGCTCTGCACGAAGTATGTATCCAATCTTTTCTGTTCAGACTCATCCAACTCTTTGTTACATGCGAACTTTCTCCTCGCGTTCTGCGTCGGCAGATCGATCATGTCATTCGGCCCTTGATCAAACGGATAGAAGTAGTATTTGGGCTGACTTGGTGTGCTTGTGAAATTGGTAATAGAGTTCAGTTTTATATAAAAATCTTGGACTGTCTCTACGTAGATCGTGACTTTTATATAGGCGGGAGATGATGACGTCAGGTGCACTATTGGTGTGTTCAATGACGATATGTCTGTAAGAAATTTGGTTGTTAAGTTTTGTGTTATACATATATAATATAGATAGATATATATTTGCCAAAAATATTGATACAGGGTTCTAATAGATGAGAGTAGGAGGAATTTTATAATTAAAAATGAATCTGTTTTAGAGCAAAAAACACAGATTTCTAGCTATTGTGTATTCTCCCATAAAATTTTAAAGATAATATGCTTGTAACTGCACAAAATAAATCTAGAATTAATTATTATTTTAATTATCTCTGAAACTTAACTTTATTAATGTTTTCTTTAATTTAGTGGTAAGTAATTAACAAATATTATTTATAAATCTATAATCTTAACAAACATAAAATTTTTATTGATTTTTTTTCTTGATATATCAAGGAATTTTATTTGTATGTTACTTACTACTATAGTAGTAAACAACATACAAATATTATGAAAGCGGAGTAATGTATTCTTGAGTGTGCAATAGAATACACTTTAAATAAATTACAAAAAATGTAAAAAATATGGCTTTTTATATATCTAAGTTTGCTGTACCTACTCGTTTATTGACACTGAAATAGTAATATAAAATATAATTGGAAATAAAATGTAAATATAAAAATATTTTTGCAAAGAAAACTATAACAACGAATACGTATAAAAAGTTAGTTTTTTTTTGTTACGAAATACATATACGAAAAGATCGTTGTAAAACGTATGTATTATAAGTCTTTTAAAAATCCTCGGAGCAATATCATGTCTCTAAAATTGTAGACAATACTATATAAAGAGAAATTTTCGATTATTACCAATTTTATTGCAATTATGGGCTGTAAATATATTTATTAATATTTTATGCCTCATCCGGAACTCCTGTATGCAATATTTCCGACAGTCACACTACAAATAAATGTATATATATATAATAAATATGCTATTTACGTATCAATGGGCCACAGTAGACCGTTATCCATTCACCACTCACTACGTATGCGTGAACAGAAAGAAATTAAAAATTTAATGGACAGTTAAAATCTACACTGGCCGATGTAACAAGCGACTACAAGTAACAATATCATAGCTAATTCCAAGCACTAGTACATTTTTTTAAAACTGTTTCAACTGAATCTTATTAATATTAAAAACGAGAAAGTTTGTAAGTATGCTTGTTGGTACTTTCTCACGTAAAATATACTGAACGTATTTTGGTGGGTCTTTACAGTAATATAGCTTATGTGTCAGAATAACACATAGTCTATATTTTATATTGCGACATAGCTAGTAATGTATATATTAATCCGATAAGCAAATCTTTGTATCCTTTCTTATTAAAATTGCGCGGACGGAAGCATATTAAGTTTCGCAGACTTACAGTTTACTAGCTGTCCCGGCAAACGTTGTTTTGCCTTGAAATAAAAAAAAAATTGTCTAGTACCCATAATGTTTTGTGAATTGTCCAGTATTATTATTATTATTTATTTACTAGCTGACCTGGCTAACGTTGTTTTGCCATATAAATTAAAGCACCAATGTTGCTATGCATCGCGACTTCAACTTTTTCCTTGATTTGGTCTTAGTTTTCCCCTTCCCTTCTTATTTTCTATTTATCCTTAGATAATTTTATTCATAAGTTCGTGTCGTATGAAGTGTCCCAACATTTTTCTCCGTCTATTTTCGACAATGGAATAGAAAATCTTTCAAGTCATATTATATTAAACACTTTTATATAGTTACTAGCTGTCTCGGCAAACGTTGTTTTGTCTTAAAATAAAAAAAAATTGGGCTGGACTACCCCTAACATTTAGGGAATGAAAAATAGATGTTGGCCGATTCTCAGACCTACTCAATACGCTCACAAAATTTCATGAGAATCGGTCAAGCCGTTTCGGAGGAGTATGGGAACGAAAACTGTGACACGAGAATTTTATATATAAGATATAGAGGAGTGCAGGATGCTAATATTTTTCGCATTAAAAATACATTAAATCAATAATAAAAAACACTAGACACTTTTGTTTATTGTTAAAGCCTATGGACAAATTGAGAATAGATTATTATTGTTCGTCTTTAATATTATTTGTCTATGGTCTCACTGAATGTTAAATTAATTATGGTTGACCACTATTATTACTAGTGCTTGGAATTAATTACGACACATATAAGGCATATTACAAAACATTTTTTTATTTAATTACAGATAGTGACGACAAATCAGTACACTCCTCTAAGAGAAGACTTTTCATTGAGTTTCAATTTACAACTTAGCTGATATGGCTGTTTATTGTAGATATTAATTTAGTAAAAATATTATTAAACGTTTGATTTGCAATACACCACTTTTAAATGCAATTTTTTACAGTTATAATCATCTTCTATAAATCTTAAATTAGAGTATCATAGGAGAAAACTTAGAACTAATTGATCCATTAACGCAATATACTCTCTAACAACAAACAATCAGAGAGCTAGACTGTCAAGTAAAAGGTGTCTGCGTTGGTAACTCAGTGTCACCTAATTCAGCCGCCAAGCAGCATGCTTTGTAAGTTGTGTTTGGGTTTTAGAGTATAGATTAGGCTGTAAAATTACAGGATAAGAGGCATAACATCTTAGTACTCTGGAATGGCAACGCATGAGTGGTATCAGGGGTGTTTTTTTTTATTTCAGAACATTTGTTCATTCTCTACACTAAACCAGTTTTAATTCTATTTTCAAATATTGAAGTTGTAAAGAACAAAGTTTGCTTTCTAAAATCAGTAAACACCACAAAACATAGAAAATTTAAAAAGTTACTAACCACACGTGTCTTCATCTTCGGCGAAGAGATTATTGTGGGGGCACAGCGTTCGGGATATATTGGTGAACTGCTCCAGCCCGCCCAGGGTCTGGACGAGCATCGGCAGCTGCCAGGAGAATACACCTGAGAAATATTAAGACAGTTTGAGAAATGTATGACAATAGTTGCGTAATTTTTAATATCATAAATTTTTTTTGTGATACCTTTTTGTTGTCTTGCCGTTACGAACAGTGGGTAAGTTCTGTTGGCGAAGTCACTGGCAACTGTCACTCGGGCTGGTGTGTCATACGATTCTAGGTCCTGTAACATATTCACACTGTCACTGTCACACTACAGATACACTGTCATATATACAAACAGAGTTTGTATATATATGTTATGCAGATTCCTACATTCCATAGTAGTTTTTAATTTAAACCATATTGCATATTAACTGTGTCTATTTAAACTAATGTAGTACTATATCTGTTAAGTTATGACTACAATCTTTGTATATGTATTCAAAATTCAAAACATCTTTATTTGTGTATGTCAAATCTACTGTCAGTTCGGAATAATTTCGAGATGAGAAGAACCGAAAAAACTCAGCTTGTATTCTTTTCAAATAAATGTTGTACATGTTTACAATAATACACAGTCATTAAAATTCAAATTTGGGAGAATAGAGTAACCACCAGCATATGCTATCTAATCAGTGTTCGCAACCTGAAAAGACCAGTCTCCACAATGTATAAATGATTTGTGGATTTATATACTTTGTGATGTAACAGTAGTTTTTAATTTAAACCATATTACATATTAACTGAGTCTCACTTGTGTAACACGCAAGTTTCTTGCTCGTTCTTCTTGTGAAGAGACGACTTTCCAAATGAGCGGTAGATTAAAAATATGTAATGACTATTCAAAAGTGCTTCAATGTAAGTTTATTTGAATAAATGATTTTCTATTCTATTCTATTCTCTTTAAACTATTGTTGTATTGTGAAATTATTTGTAGCCAATTAATATAGGCTTTGACTTTGAATATAAAACTAATTAACTGTAGGAATGTTTAAAATATTAATGGTTGCCCAGTGGTTGAATATAATTAATTTAACATTCAGCAAAACTATAGACAAATAATATTAAAGATAAACAATATTTGTAATTCTGAATAAAAAATGCAGATGTAGTATTCATGGGTTAGCTAATTTTAAATTATAACTGTAACTCACCCCTCCAAACTCCATTATATATTCTGTATTCTTATTCACATATACTGTGTATGGGACATTGTATTTATATCTGAAAGAATTTTACACATATTAATTGTATATATGGTATTTCGCTAACAATAATATAACAGAAACTACAAGTTTAAAACTATTTAAAAAAAGACAATTGAAGAGGTTTTTTTCACATCTATACCTATAAATAGAACTTAATTGTCTGCTGTAATTTTTATGAAAGTACTAGCTGTAGCCGTGACTTCTACACATGAAACTTAATTTTTCTAAAATAAAACAAAATAAATAGAAAAAAAGTAGCCTAAGTTACTTCTTATTACATCAACTACCTGCCAAAAGGGTCACGTAAAAATTGGTGCAGCCGTTTCAGAGATTAGCCAGAACAAACAGACAGACAGTAACAATTGCAAAAAATGTTATTTTGGTGTGTATACCGTATTTATATTCATATGCATGTAGCTTTCGAGATGTGGTGTTGGCGCAAAATGTTAGGAATATCATGGATGGAGCGTCGCACTAATGCATCTGTTTTGGAACAACTGGATATCAGAACCCGTCTCTCTATGTTTATTTAACTTTTTTCGGCCATGTAAAACCAGATAATTTAAAAAAAATATAATGTTGGGCCATCTAAAATTAATTTTAAATATCTATGTTGGACTGATTTGTTCTTATACATCTCCATTTAGAAATAGAAATGTGGAGAGTATTTTGGAAGGAGCACATTCACTAGCTCATCTTGATAAGAAAAGAAGAAGCTATAAAAATGGTTATTTGAATATAATTAAATTACAAAGAGACACTCCAATTTTATTTATAAGTATAGATGTATTGATATCAATTGTATGTGTATCAATTTGTTCTTGATAATCTCTGAAATGGTGGACTGTAATTTTGAAGGGACATTCACTAGCAGATAGCTAATATTATAAGAAGTAACTATTGCTATAATTATTTTATAAAAAAATATTTTAACAAAAAAAATTCAACATAAATGAAGTTGTAGTAACAGTTTGTTTATAATATTAGTATCAATATAACAGTATAATATAAGATCAATCATCTACAAGGATTTTTCTGAATAAACATCCCATGCAGACTTAAAAAAAAAAGATAACATTAAAAAAATATCTAAAATAAAGCAATTTATAATGACCAAGTTTAATCAAATTAAAACAACACATTACACTCAAAAGTAAAAATAATAGTAACATTATTATTATTATATTTTTTTGTGTAGTTATTATTACATCTTTTAGTTGAGTCAAAATGAATTTATGATGTGTTCACAAAGAACACAAAGTACTTTAATTCAGGTCAAATTAATTAATATTCTGATAAGATGTGTTAACTGACTTTAAAAGATCAATGACCTGTAATTTAAATAACAGAACTATTACATCAATTAAATATTTTTTGTCATTTCCATTTATATCTATTTATTTATATTAAAATTAAAATAATTAAAACATATATAGGCAGTATACAGCCATGCTCTTCACCTGTATGTATTATAAAATAAAAACCAGAATTATTTAATGATGTACCAAACAAAGAATGCTAACTCAACAAAATTACATCCAACAAAGAATTTATATTATACTAAGCATAACTTACGTATTATTATAATGAAATATTATTTCATTTGTGTTTACATTGTTCTCACTGAACACTAAAGTCAAATGGCTTATCAATAAACTAAACAATATAAATGTGAAAACAGCCATTATAACGATTTATCACATTAATTAACGAAATTCCACACCATTTTGTTGTATTGAATAAAAATGTAGTCAAAAAACTATTACAAATTTAATAACAGATTTTCGTTTCAAGAATACCATACAATAAAGTAAATGAATTTTGATAGAAAATCAGCAATTTCATATCCATATTCCCATTTAAGTTTTGAGTTTTGACGATATGACAGCTTAGTTACTATTTCTGACAGTGTACATTGACATGACAATTGTGGACCTCATATTGCTGACAGCTGAGGACTGCCTACGAAAAAATTTTGAAATGAACTCTTTTTCAGTGTCCGCTATTAAGTTTCACTGTTAATAACTTATGAAATTACGCATAAAATTAAATCACCTCTATATGTCTTTTATTTTAAGAGTTTAGTAGGTATCAATGAAAACATTTAAACTGCAAAAATATATAATGGAAATTAATCTGATACGTTTCGGTATTAAATTTAATGCCATTATAACAATCAACTTTGTAAATATTAATAAAATTTATATCTTTATTTAACCACTAATAAAATAAATTAAAAACTAAAGTTCTGTTAATTTTATATTATTATTATATTTTTTGAACGCGTCTTTTGTTTAGACCAATAAAAAGCGAAGCGACCAGTTAACAATTTAAAAAAATAGGTCCAGCCAATAGAATTGAATTATTCATCTCACCGGTTAAATAACGTGCTCTGATTGGCTCCACAGTTAAACAGGTGCTATGCGTCATCCGCCATAACGTTGGTCTTATAAATTGTGAAAGTACGCTTTGTTTCTACAAATAAACTTTAAATCATTGTGAAAAAGTTAATAAAAAGTGTGTTATATGTGTAATCAAACATGAGTGAGTGGTACAGGATGAAGAATGGATTCAATAACAAACACAATTCCTCGGAATTGTCAGTCGAAACTTCTTGTGATATATCAGACACTTTTCAATTATTCTCCGATAATCTGAGCCCGATTCTGGCTTCTATTGTGCCAAGGAAGTTAGACTTTACCAGTTTTAATGAAGATGATGGCATAAGGGATGCTTCACCGGCACCAGCATCACTGAGCCCTCCATACAAACGAGTTAGAGCCCTCAGGTAAGCTTACGTCTACTACTAGTGCTGACTGGTAGAAAATACCACGTTCTGATTTCCCCTGCTAGCCGTTGATATCTAAAATAGTATTATATAGGTTAAATAATAATATATTTTGATAAATATAAAATTATGATTCCTGTTAGAATAATATTAACTCAAAGTGACTGTTTATCAATAACAGTTAAGTATTTTTAATAATAGTAAATGCGCACCTTAAAGTCTACCTATCCCTGTCCAGAATGCCGTGTTATTAGACACCAAAAAACAAACATTTGGCTGTACAACCAGGAACATCCAATTTGAATCACTTTTAAGAATTTTCCTTTGGCTTAAGGAATATTAATTCCATTCATTTAATTTATTCAAAATAACATAATTATCATTGCATTTGAAAGTCAAATATAAATGTGATGGTTGTTATGCCTAAAGTTTAAAACAAGATAAACCTATTAGAAATCTGTTAGGCTTGTCCCATTTCTCTTTACTGTCTTAATTAGTGTATTTATTAAACAATATTAGTTTATCTCTGTATCTAAATAATCTTACCCAATATTATAGTTATAGGCCCTAGAATATCACTATATAGTAAATAATACTAAACAGATCAATAAAAAATATATTTATTCATGTAGGACATTTTAGCTACTTATGAATATCAAGTTTTTTGTATTAATATTTTTACTTACCATCCAGTTCAGTAAAGAACTGAGTAGAACTGGCAAGAGACTCAACTGAATTTCTGTGTATGATAATGGAATGGTACTCCCACCTGCGCTAACAGTTTACGCTAATGGGGCCCCACCACGGGGAAGGGTATTGTTAGTAATGTGGACTGCTGATCTTATTGCTAGCAATGTACCATGTCAGGTTGACCTCCACGCGGTTCCCCCTGGAAATCATCGTGAATATGTCACGATGGGCTAACTGACCTGACCTCATGCTCATCTTATTTTATCATCCTCCACTGGTGCCCCGCCAGCGTTAACCGTTAGCGCAGGCGGGTGCACCATTCCATTATCATCCATAAAAAAAATCAATACCTGGTACTTTACCTAGGGAAATAGTTTACTATGTTTCAGTTCAGTTTATTATAGTCTCAGTCAGGAACCATAAATATTTATATTACCACTACTATAAAATTGTTTTGATGTTATATGTTGTACTTATATTATGGTGACTCTATGCTCCCAAATTTGAATTTAAAAATGAATCTGTATTATTGTAAACATGTACAACGTTTATTTGAAATGAATATGAGCTGAGTTTCTTGTCAGTTCTTCTCATCTCGAAATCATTCTGAACTGACAGTAGATTTGACATATCATAAGAGTCTGTAATAGACCTACATGAATAAAGATATTTTGATTTTGAATTTGAATATGAATTTATTAAGATAATGATGTACATCCAAAAATATAGTAGATAAATATGTCAATGGGAGAAAGCAGAATTGTTGTAACTTGAAAAACACAACTTTCTAGTGTAACATAAGGTTTTTCAGCCACAGCTACAAACTACATTGTTTCTCTCAAACCATGACATTGGCAAAATGACCGATCAAAATTGGTGGTGACAATTTAAAATGAAGAAGAACAAGAAGGTTTCTCGAAGAGTCCAAAAAACTATTTTCACAATTCTTTTATTAATATTATAAATGTGAAAGTTTGTTAGTATGGACTATTGAACGGATTTTGATGAAACTTTACAGTAATATAGCTTATGCATCAGAATAACACTTATGCTATATTTTTTATTGAAATTTCTATGACATGTAATGCGGCTGAAACTTCTGGCATAGCTATTAACTCTTATATTAATAACTAATATATACACATAAACATATAAGTTATGAATTTTATTAATAAAAAAATATAAAATTTTTAATATATTTAACTTTTATTTATGGGAAAAGGAAGATAATTTTGATATTCTATAATCAAAATCATCATCTGCTTCTTCCTTATCCTAATTATTTGTGGTTGGCGTAATATAATAATAATAATAATCTCAAGACAATTCACACAGCACCATCTAGACCCAAGATAAGCTAGCTAAAGCTTGTGTGTGTGACTAGATAACTGATACATATATTTAGATTTTTTTTTTTGTAAATACATATTATACATAGAAAACACCTGACCGATACAAACAATCATACTCATGAATACAAATGTTTGTGCTATTTATATGTGGTCGGTCGTAATATAATAATAATAGACCACCGAGGTCGTCAGTTATATATGTTTTTCTTTTCCATTCATTCATGTTCGCAGGCATCTCATTATTTACTTCTTTTTCTTACTCTCTGTCTTGTCTCCTCTGTATTGATTTTTTAATCTTTGATAGTAACCAAGTGCAATTCACAGGTAAGATAAAGATAAAGAAGCCTTTATTTCTGTACATACATTTTTTTTTTTACATTCCTGTTCATTCATATTACTATATTATACTATAAATTTATTATTATTATATATATTTTTTACTATTATTGTTTGTTAAGTAGTTTAATTTTTTTTTTCTAATGTTTAATTATTAATTCCATTTTCTATATTATATCCCACAGTACAGAGTGCCTTTTGGCAAAGGCCTCCTCTAATTCTTTCCAGTGTACTCTATTTTGGGCTGCTCTTCTCCAGTAGGGGCCGGGTAGGGTAGGCAGGGTAGGGTAATTCACAGGTAATGATCGGAATACCTTTAAATGAAAATAAACTTAAATTGCTTAGAATGATGGTTGAGTTTACTATGAACGGGAAAAATAAGTTAAGTTAAAATACTTTTTGCAGTGAACACGACCGTCCGCCACGACACGCGGTCGAGTATGATATATCTATCTATGTATCTATCTGTTATCATATATCTATCTATAGTTTAACTAGGTACAATACTAAAACCAACATTAAATCTGGAAATCTTCATTTTATAGTATAGATACTATAAAATGTAGTCGGACACTTATCTTTATTTTTCAAACTATGCAACAGATATTAATACAGTTTTAAGTTATAGATAGAGTGATTAATTAGGAAGGTTTATATGTATAATACATGTACAAACAAACATGTGCGAAACTGGAACGATTAGGTAGTAATGTATAAAAAAGAACAAAAAATACTATAGATTATAAATTTCTTTGGTTCTGTCTGCCCATAGTAGGAACTGTCATTAAAAGCACATACATACATATTTACATGTGTTCATGGTAGAAACTTGTTATTATTACTTATGTGTTTATTATGTATAGTACATATATACGCCTACTACACATGCAGACATGCCTAAACATGTACCAACTTGTCCATCTCCTGTCTAGACACGTCACTGTGTCGACCTGCAAACAACCGGTTTTTTTTTTTGCCGTTGCCGTTAACAATCACTTTTATTTGTGGTATTTTGGTTGTAGAACCCGTTTATAGCCCGAATCTAAAATGACCATTTGTTTTTCGCCAGAGTGAGATGCTAGTGGACTAGAAATAAACAAGACTACTAGAAATGTCTTAATCCAATTTAATGATATGTATTATCATGAATAAAATCATTTGTATGTAAAAATTAAATTAAAAAAAATATATTATTCTAATTAAAAAAATATATACATTTTGCTCTTACTGGAGATAAGTATCGACAGTAAAATCAAATTTAATCAAAATATCTTCATTCATGTAGGTCTATAAGAGACTCTTATGATATGTCAAACTATCGTCAGTTCAGAAAGTTTTCGAGCTATGACGAACTGACAAAAACTCGATTATTATTCTTTTCAAATGAGCTTGTTCTTGGTTATCAAAATACAGATTCAGATTTAAGTCTGAAATGATAATGTCTTGCCTAATACGAGAGGTATGGTCACCTTAGTTATTTTGGTACACAATACGTGCGTTTAAATCTGATGATTCTGAAGGCAGATAACTCTATGTTATTCATATTTAATACAATGCCATAAGACTATTCTGTGAATGATACTTTTTTTTTAATTGACGCTGTCGGTCACATTTAAGTTTGATCAATATTTGACCCGCAATTTTCCCTAATAATACGATTACTACTCTTTGCCGACTGCAGAAGTCGAGTAAAAAGTTTCATTACAGATGCCAAAGTACAAAATTCCGTCTCGATTCGGTTACAAATTCAGTTAATACACAGTTATCTCGAACAATAACACGACCATGTGATCGCACAGCTGTTCGCATGAAAAAATTACGCCCACAAAAACTCACCTGAACGCACCTTTATTTTGAACAAAAAATCGTGGACTTTATTGTTAACGTCATAAGGTTACATATCGTTCTCTATTATTTGATTTGTGTGGATTATTTGAAATAAGAATAGCTTTTCTGCGGAGTTTTTAAATTTGGAATAGGTAGTGAATAATAAAATGAACAGAATAGTAAAGTAAAAAATATATGAACCTTATAATAATAGTGATCATTTCTCAATGCACAGGTGAGGTGGGGTAATCAGAGACTTTTTACAGATTTAAAAAATTGGAGGGCTTTAATCCGTCTGTATTTTTTTATAAGTAATGTTAAGCGTAATCGCGAAACTGAACACATTTCCAAGATTTTTTTTTTCCAATAAATAAACCCTATTTGTTTTGTTCTTTACTAGTTTTCCCATCCATTATGAGATATTGCTTTTATTTATTTGATTCGATCACTCTGTTATTATGTTAGTAAACTATTTTAGTAAAATCTGAACACAAAATCTCAACTAAAGAACTGTCCGCTACAGTGTAATGATGTTGGAGTTCTGGAGTTGGTAATCCGATATATCTGTCGATCTCTTTGTATTCCCTTGAATTCTACGCATAAAGCAGTTTTACGCATTATAGCATTATATTAAAAGGCATCCGTTTCGTGGATAGAAATCTAATTGTTTCTATACAGTGTTATATGATTATTTTCGAGCTCCAATTACAGGATTTATTCAATTTTATTTTATCAATTTTTTTTCTTAAATTTTGTTTAATAGTTACCGAATATTTTTAACAAGTATAAGTATGAAAATTACGTCAGGTTTTTTTAACACTTTTTTTTATAAATGATGTATGTTATATTTGTTCGAATGTTCTTTTTTAAGGTATATGTTTTTTCAAGTCGGCTAGTTTTCGAAAATGGTGGATATCAAAATTTGACGTCCATAAACGGCAGAAACTATTGTAATAAATACAATCGATTTTTTTTATTTATTTTGAAAACCAATAGCGTATTGCAAATAATAAGAAAGAATATGTTCTTAAAAATAAGACCAATTAAAAGTTTTCGCACTATTAAAATTTTAAAGGTACAGAATATTTTTTAAATTTTACTTAGTAGGTACTAGCTGTTCCCGCGACTTCGTCCGTGTGGTATTTAACTTTTTAAAAATAAAAGAATTTTTCTAAAATAAAATTTGCCTAGGTTACTCCTTATATTACATCAGCTATTTGCCAAACAAAGTCCTGTCAAAGTCGTTCCAGGCATTTCAGAGATGCCGGAACAAACAGACAGACAGACAAAAATTGTAAAAAATGTTATTTTGGTGTATGTACCGTATTTATATTCATATGCATGTAGTAAAAAACAGTTATTTCAATATTACAAACATACACTCCAATTTTATTTATATATATAGATGATTCTATTGAGATTCAGTTAAATATTTGTTAAAGTATTAACGTATTACATATCCACTAGTTTACTTTATACAACGTATATAAATAAATGATTCTACCTTTGAATGGTCCACCATACATAACTCGTTCGCAAACGGTTACCCATCCAACTATACATCGCTTGACCTCAATACCAAATCTTGTTTGCCATTAATAAAATATTGTATTTCTATTAAAATCCAGTACAAGATGTAATAATAGTATAGGACGGACCCCATTTCCTACTCACCCTTCTTACGCAACAATACGCGAAGCACACAAAAGTACAATGCGCACACGCACGCAACGTTCAACACCTGAGCGCATATGTCTTAAGAAAAAAAATAACACTTGTGAAATATTCCCTTGAGCAAAATTATTTATGGCCGAAAGTTATATCTATTCATTTTTTAATATTTATTAGTAGATATATATAGAATGTATCCCTAATAATATATTATAAATAGTACGCCCTTAGGTGTAGAGACAGCCTTTAGGTGTTAAGTTCGCCATATGTACATTTATATATTGTATTTGTGAATTAAAGTTTAAATAAATAAATAAAAGTAAGTCTTTTAGTTCGTCAAAGTTTTTTAGTTTGTCACGCTGAGAATTGTGTCCAATTTATTTAAATTTGGTACATAGATAGTCTATACTCCATGAAAGGCCTCATGTCTACTTTTTAAAGCGAAATAAGGGTTGTAAGGGGTTGAAAGGGGAGTTGAAAGTTTCTATGGAACTATTGTTATTTTTAAAGCTAGATACTATATATAATATTCGCGTACGCAGACAGACAGATATAAATGAATATTATATTAATAATTACATCATACATATATCTTTATATATAAAAATTATGTGTCACATTGTTTTTCCGCGTTAGACTCCTAAACTACTGAACTGATTGCAAATTTAATTTGCACATTGTGTGCAATTTGATCCAACTTGAAAGATAGGATAGCTTACATCTCAATTTATATTCGCAATATTATTCAAGAACCTTAGCCACAGCAACGCGTGGCCGGGTCTGCTAGTATATATATAGGGTGCATTATTCCATTATCAACCATAAAAAGATTGTGGCATAATGTTGTGTTTTTTTTTAAATCAGTCACGAATATTTCTAATTTATCCCATAACAAACAAATAGTCAAATCTGTCAACAGACGAAGTTACTGGCAGGATAGAATATTTTTGAAACAGCAATTTTTTTTTCAGGTTATTCGACAGTCCGCACACGCCGAAAACACTTTTAGAGAAATGTTCTACACCGACGCATCATCCGCCCAGGTCAAGACTATTCCCGCCCAAACTGAACGCGCCGACGGGTGAGCCATGTTTGTTTATGGTTTTATTGCTTCTCATCACCTGCCTCTTTCCCATTCAAAACTAATAATACAATTTTACATTTACAAAACGCCTCAAAATCCGTTGCGTAGTTTTAAAGATTTAAGTATACTTAGGGACAGACAGCGACAGCGACTTTATTTTATACTATGTAAGGATAGGTATTTTATTGCTAATAGTGATCGAAAATGGACCTTAATGTATCAAAATGTTGAGTTGAAATCTTATTAAAGTTCTATCGTCAAACACACCCCATTGCAAGCACTAAACCATGTTAGGTTGACCGCCTCGTGGTCTGGAAACCATGATAAATTCCTTGTCGACGATGAGCTAACTGACATGACCTCATGCTTATCTTATCATCCTACACTGGTGTCCCACCAGCGTAAACCGTTAGCGTACGCGGGTGCACCATTCCATTGTCATCCCTTAAAAAGAAATATATGGAATTTGTTAGCATCTAATTTCGTTGTACTGCAGGCATGCCGTCAGGATCGAGTCATCACCTCCATCCGCCGTCCGGTGATGAGGACAGCGCGCTCGGCAGCCTGCCGCCGGATGAAATGGATGAGTCGCGGCTCGCGCCCCAAAGGCCGGTCGCGAACATCAACCCCTTCACGCCGGATGGTTGGTTTATCATGTTTAATTATTATTATCTTAATATCTTAATAATATTTTAAACGCGAATTCTGAGTATGGATGTTTGTTACTCTTTCACGCAAAAACTACTGAACGGATTTTAATGAAATTTACAGTAAGCTTATGCATCAGAATAACACAAATTGAATTTTATAGAAATTTAGCACGGCTGAAACCGCGGGCACGGCTAGTAATTTATACCATGTATTCAATATTATTTCTTATTTGATATTTATTTATTCAGTAACAATTTATATTGTGTTTGAAATTATACAATTTTTGCTGCTAAGAAATTCATCAACACTGTAAAATGATTGCTCCAACAGAAAACAACGCAACCTCCTCCTAAAAAGCTTCCAATTATGTATTTTCTTTAAACTATTGGGCAAAGAGTTGTAAAGCCTTACTGCTTGGAAACCCTCACCATGCTTCACAATATTAAGGGTTGGTTTTATAATGTTAGGGTAGTCCATTCTGCGAGTACTTTCCCTTATGTCTCGATTCTCCCTGGTCTCACTACCAACAATACTTTTTACAAAATCTGTTAATAGCACCAATATGTATAAGCATGGTATAGTCAAAATTCTGTATTCTTTAAAATATTGCTTACAGGATTGCACTTGTGGTATACGGACAATAGTCCTAATAGCTCTTTTTTGTAATATAAACTCCTTATTTATACTGTATTTATAACTATTGCCCCAGAACTTTATACTATATCTAAGTTTTGATTCCACTAGAGCATAATAAACAGTCTTCAACTGATCAACAGTAAGGTCATCTATATTGTAACAATATCAGCCCTTATTAGTGAGTAGCTGTGCCGGCGATTTAACCCGCGTGAAGTTTATAAAGTTTCATTCAAATTCATTCAGTAGTTTTGTATGAAAGATGAACATCCATCTAATTTATCCATTCACACTCACAAACTTCCGCGTTTATAATATTAGTGAGATACAATATAAATATAAAATAGCTACTCACAATATTTACTTTTCGAGTTTTATATCCAAATACATGAAATTAATCGTACCCGAAATAAATGAACACAGTATTTAAAAAAAATATGGTGGAGTCTGAAATTAAACGTATTCATTATTTAAAAGATACGATTGCAATTACTCAGAGGAATGAATGAGAGATACTATTGCCATTACTATATATTCGATGAGGATACGATACATTACTATTCTTACGATTTATTCACATACTGTTCACAGGACAAGCGCTTAACAAAAAGAAGCGGGCACTGTCCAAAACACCAACGTGGGACGCCACGCCTGAGCAGCCGGCCAAAAGGCTTAGGGTGAGTTTAGTACAATGTATACAATGTAGATAGGTCCCAGCAGCTTTTTCTATTGTCACTAGATTGACTAACGACAATAATTAATGTATTTATTAAACACAGTCAATCAATTAATCATAATTTAAAAGCTGCGCTTTTGTAAGTGGAGCTCATGCCATTTTTCAGGATCTTCCATCAATCTCTTTAGTTGTTGATACGACACGACTCCCATTTTTATATTATAAAGAATAATTAAACACAAAAGTTTAAAAATAACTATCATCAATAGATGTTTTATAATAAAAATCCAACATTACCACACAGGAATCGAACATATCGCGCTACAACGTGGAGTTCGTGGAGCAGGGCGTGGTGGGGCGCGGGCAGTTCGGGCGCGTGGCCAAGTGCGTCAACAAGCTGGACGGCTGCGTGTACGCGCTCAAGAGGTCCCTGCGGCCCGTCGCCGGCTCCACGGCCGAGCACGCCGCGCTCAGGGAGGTGTACGCACACGCCGCGCTCGGGAAGCACCCGCACGTCGTACGGTGAGTGCGTGTAGGTGTACAGCGCGCCGCGCTCAGGAAGGTGTACGCACACGCCGCGCTCGGGAAGCACCCGCACGTCGTACGGTGAGTGCGTGTAGGTGTACAGCGCGCCGCGCTCACGGAGGTGTACGCACACGCCGCGCTCGGGAAGCACCCGCACGTCGTACGGTGAGTGCGTGTAGGTGTACAGCGCGCCGCGCTCAGGGAGGTGTACGCACACGCCGCGCTCGGGAAGCACCCGCACGTCGTACGGTGAGTGCGTGTAGGTGTACAGCGCGCCGCGCTCAGGGAGGTGTACGCACACGCCGCGCTCGGGAAGCACCCGCACGTCGTACGGTGAGTGCGTGTAGGTGTACAGCGCGCCGCGCTCAGAGAGGTGTACGCACACGCCGCGCTCGGGAAGCACCCGCACGTCGTACGGTGAGTGCGTGTAGGTGTACAGCGCGCCGCGCTCAGGGAGGTGTACGCACACGCCGCGCTCGGGAAGCACCCGCACGTCGTACGGTGAGTGCGTGTACATTTTGGTGTACAGCGCGCCGCGCTCAAAACATTTATTTTACGCACACGCCGCGAATTATTTAAATAACGCACGTCGTACGGTGAGTATAGTATTTTAATATCGCGCCGCGCTCAAATTACATGTATCTCTTACGCCGCGCTCGGGAACGATAACCGCACGTCGTACGGTGAGGATATATTTTCAGATATTACAGCGCGCCGCGCTCACATGATAATACAGAATGAGTACGCACACGCCGTGCGAAGCGTAACGATATCAAATAATAGTCGGAAATACAAATCAGATTTTACCTGACGTTTCCTTGACTGCTGCTCGCAGTTAACGGAAACACTTTTTATGTTAGTCGTCGTTATCATTTTATCATTATCAACACAGTGTTCAGATTAGTCCTTACATTTTGGTCCTACGAGCCGGACAATTAACATTTATTTTACCAAAATTTTCTAAGAATTATTTAAATAACGTTTAATAGTCTTTCATTGTCACTATTATAGTATTTTAATATCGATTATACAAATTACATGTATCTCTTACGCCGTTTATTTCCAAACGATAACCAAAGTCATCCAATACATGGAAGGATATATTTTCAGATATTACTCCGCGTGGGCGGAAGATGACCACATGATAATACAGAATGAGTACTGCGACGGGGGCTCATTACAGCAGAAGATGGAATCCGGCCCGTTGTCTGAGAGCGAGCTGCTGTTGTTACTCGCTCACATATCTGATGGATTGGCGTGAGTAGCTTTTTATGTAATTGGCTACCAGCTACTGTAATTTCACTGCTTAATCTGTATCTTAGAACCGAAACATCGTTTACAATTAAATCTGCTTGCTGACTGAAATAGGTGAGACTGAGGTACCACACAGACAACTTTACAGTGTATCTTTCATTGTTTCTTATTATTATCTAACGGTCTCAGTTGATTCATCACTATGAGTGTTTTTTTTATTTATTTGCTTTTGTGTGTATCGGTCTAGGTGTTTTCTATGTATATTATGTCTGTATTTACAAAAAAAAATATCTATATCAGTTGTCTAGTATCCATAATACAATCTTTGTTTAGCTTGGGACTAGATGGCGCTGTGTGAATTGTCTTCGGATGTTATTATTGTTATTGTTCCAAATGCGAAGAGCGTTGTTAGTATACTAATAAGAATAAAATATTGTACATCAGGTACATCCACTCGCAGCGATTGGTACACATGGACGTGAAGCCTGGAAACATCTTCGTGTGCACCAGCGAGGCGGAGCGGCCCGCGGACTCCGACGACGGCTACGACGACGACGACCCACCCCGCCCGCACCACACGTACAAGATCGGTACGTACACACCCTGTATATTGTACTACACACCCGCGCCCGCACCACACGTACAAGATCGGTACGTACACACCCTGTATATTGTACTACACACCCGCGCCCGCACCACACGTACAAGATCGGTACGTACACACCCTGTATATTGTACTACACACCCGCGCCCGCACCACACGTACAAGATCGGTACGTACACACCCTGTATATTGCTACACACCCGCGCCCGCACCACACGTACAAGATCGGTACGTACACACCCTGTATATTGAACTACACACCCCCGCCCGCACCACACTTACAAGATCGGTACGTACACATCCTGTATATTGTACTACACAACCGCGCCCGCACCACACTTACAAGATCGGTACGTACACACCCTGTATATTGTACTACACACCCGCGCCCGCACCACACGTACAAGATCGGTACGTACACATCCTGTATATTGTACTACACACCCGCGCCCGCACCACACTTACAAGATCGGTACGTACACATCCTGTATATTGTATGTACTACACAACCGCGCCCGCACCACACTTACAAGATCGGTACGTACACACCCTGTATATTGTATGTACTACACAACCGCGCCCGCACCACACTTACAAGATCGGTACGTACACATCCTGTATATTGTATGTACTACACAACCGCGCCCGCACCACACTTACAAGATCGGTACGTACACATCCTGTATATTGTATGTACTACACAACCGCGCACGCACCACACATATAAGATCGGTATGTATACACCTGTACATAGTTGATCTACTTTTAACACTAATAAAGTTATGGTAAATAAAGGTATTTACCTCACTTGACTTCAACTGGATTGCCCTAAATGTTTTAATGTAACTGTATTACAGTATAGTAATGAGGTAATGTGTGTGCAGGTGACCTAGGTCACGTGACGTTCGTATCGGCCCCGTCCGTGGAGGAAGGCGACTGCCGATACCTGCCCAAGGAAGTACTCCACGAGGACTTCACACACCTCACCAAGGCAGACATCTTCGCGTTTGGTGAGTATACATACATCCGTATGTAGGTAGTTAGGTACCATCAATTTTTACAGTACTATTGAAAATCGGACCAAATTTTTTTTTTTTAGGCGTCCGGTGAATCTGTAAATGTCAGTTGTTAAAGAACGAAAGCAGATGGCACTTTAAACCCACGGAAGGCCTTATTGCGTACTTCCGATCGAAATTGAGCAATTATTTATGCGCATACAGATGCGAATGGTTTTGTGCGGGAAAGCCGCACACAGTCTTGTGTCTTTAGCATTTTACTAATTTTTATGAACATATTTTAGCGCGTGATACATTTGATGTTACGTCATTTTGTAATTTTTGTTTTCAATTTAATTTTCCAAAGATAGGTTAATATTTATATTTTATCAATTACATTTTATAAAAGCTGCTAAAGCACTCAGGATTAAAAACGCGGGAATGCCCAAACGCTCGCCATCTTTGTCGTTTTCTTTGTGTACAGGCTGTTTATATACAAATGTATGTTTTAGGATTAACACTATTCGAAGCCGGTGGCGGTGGTCAGCTGCCGAAGAATGGTCAGCAGTGGCACGACTACCGCGACGGCAAATTACCAGAACTGCCCAATTTGTCCAGAGAATTCAATCAACTCCTCAGGGTATGTTTATTTCTTATATTATTTATAATTATAATAGTTCAAATTCAACGCCTTTATTAATTGACCAAATTTGACAATTTATGACAAGTGTTTACACGTTTAAAAATATATGGGTATATAAATATATATATCTAGTAAATTATCTGAAATGTATATCTTAAACTGCATTAGTAAGCTACTATATTGCTCCGGTGAAAGAAACAAATAAAACCAAAAGAGAATCCGAGAAACGGCGGCAGCTGCGTTCCGTAATTTGAATCTGGCGTCAGAACTTTGATTTACGAAGATTCCAGTAATTAAATCAGTTGGAGACTATATAAACAGTCCATTATTTTACTCCTTGACGCTAACATATGGTCCTTCGTGCCGGATCATAAGTTATCTTGTCCATGGAAATTTTAACCAAACAGAATTTTCTTAATATTATTAATATAGCTAAAAGGGTTTTAACACTTTAAGTCCTTGCAACATTCTGGGGAAAGTACATTTAGTTGCCATTGAAACGAAAGAAGAACACGAATAATTTTCAGTCGGTTCAATAATTTGCAGTCAGCCTGTGACCACGGCTAGTGCAACCTAGTCGAAACGTCGAGAGGTAAATACCTTTATTTACCCTAATATTAATCGTGTTAAAACCCATTTTACTATATTAATAAAGTGCACTAAATGCGAAAGTTTAAAAAATTCATAATGCTTGTAAACAGGAAATGGTAGATCCCGACCCGGCGTTGCGTCCGTCAGCTGCGCGGCTCCGCAAGCACCCACTCCTCAAGAACAAGACAAAGTCGCAACTGAGGCGGGAGCTCGCAGCCGCCAAAATGAAGAATGAAGTGCTCGCCAAACAACTGCAGGACGCCGCCAGGTACCTTCTCTATTCATATAGCTGTAATGACAGGTGTTGAGAGTAAACACACATAGTAGGGTTGGAACTTGTGTATTTGATGGTTACATGTTGATTGAGACTATAGTAAACTAACTGATCCGCGCAACTTCGTCTGCGTTTCATTTCCCCCCCACCTTTTGTAATATGTTTCATTGCAGCTCCGCTTCTATTGGTCGTAGCGTAATGTTATATAGCTTAAAGCCTTACTGATATTATAAAAGCGAAAGTTTGTGAGTTTATGATGGATGTTTTTTACTCTTTCACGCAAAAACTACTGAACGGATTTTTATGAGATTTTAAGTATCATCACTACGTAGTGTAAAATAAAGTCACTGTCAGAGTTTGTCCGTCTCTATGTATGTTGAAATCTTTAAAACTACATAAACGATTTTGAAGCGGTTTTCTTTAATAGATAGATAGATAGATTCAAGAGGAAGGTTTATATGTATAATACATGCATAATATTGTAGAGAAACATGTAATATAGAGGTTTCTAATGTGATGTTGTAAACACGTTTTTTTGGCGCTTACATTGCCAACGCTGGTTGGACCCCACCTGATACTTAGTATCAGCATTACACCTGTGCGAAGCTACGGCGGGTCGCTAGTAGCTTATAAATCAGAATAACATATAGCCTATAATTTAAAAGGATATGTATCTCGGGTAGGTGTGATGCAGACGGAGTTGCGCGAGTCAGCTAGTCTATAATAAAATGTTATAAATTCATTTGAACTACAAGATACGCCTTTGATTTGCAGTTGTATAAAGTCATTAACGCCCAACTACGTAGCGAATCAAGAGTCGGCGAAGTTCAGAACACGTTCAGCGAAGCGGCTGCAGAAGCCGCGGACGGATGTTCAGCTCACGGAGAGTGTACAGGTGGTCTCCTCCACCAGGAGGATTGAAAGGAAATCCAGACAGACGAGGTAAATATCTTATTAATATTATAAACGAGTAAGTTTGTGAGTATGGATGGATGTTTGTTACTCTAATGCAAAATTACTGAACGGATTTTGATGAAACTTTACAGTAATATAGATTATATATCAGAATAACATATAGGCTATGAATTCACGTTGGTGAAACCACGGGTACAGCTAGTGCAATATACAATGCTAAGACAATTCACACAGCGCCATTCACACAGCGCCATCTAGTCCCAAGCTAAACAGAGCTTTTGTTATATATATTTGGCTCGTTCTGGCTACCTTTAAATACATATAATACATAAAAATCACCCAGACCAAATGATATCGTTCAGTACAGCTGCAAAGGCCAGCTGCGGCTAACAGCTTTGGTATAGTTAAAAAAAGACCCTACTTAATAATTATAATCTCAGGACATTTCACACAGCGCCATCTAGTCTCAAGTTAAACTAGCTAAAGCTTGTGTTATGGGTACTAGATAACTGATACAAATACATAAATATGTTTTTTTTTAGTAAATACATATATATTATACATAGAAACACCTAGACCAAACGTTATCGTTCGGTGAGTGTGTGTGAAAAAAGAGCCCATTCTTAAATATGTATATTTGTTTTTTTAGACAAGTTTTTTTTAACATAATACTTTAATTTCAGTGTTAGAGATCGTAGAATGATGAATCTCTGAAGACATTTAATATGAAATATTACAACTATCGGAAAATAAAAAACCTCGCGTGCTGAAGAGTCATTTGTTAAATATATTTAGGACACCATGTATAAACAGCGCACAAACATTTGGACGTACAAACAACATATACACAAAAAGGTTTGACTATTTCACTTTGCATTGTTGTATCTAAATAAGCTTGCATATGCATAGCGTAGTACTATCTAATCCATGCTACAAGGTGTGTACAAAATGAAATTGTGTTTATTTTTTTAAAAATATTTATAATAATAATATTACAAAGTTGTAGTTTGTAAAGTACAAAAAATATATAATACAGTGAATTTGATAGCCTATTTTACTATTGTAACATATTAACCCAAAGGGTCGTCAGTTCAAAACTGGCTGACACAAAAAAAACTGTCAATTTGTATTTCTATCTGTCCTGTAGTGGAAACACTAGTAATGAAACAAAAGGAAAGGCATTATACTTGCCTATTAACATTTTTGATATAAATATACTGAGAAATGTGGGTATACAACTATGCGTTCATAACATCGACAGTTGAGAATGCCTCTGCTTACCTCATACGGGATTACAGTCGTAATTTATATTATATTAAACGTATAGCCATGTATAAGTGAAATTAGTCTACCATAAGGTTTATTTTTTTTGTTATAACATATCATAACAATCCACTATCACACACACATATACCATAAATAAACATAATTTATAAATTTTAAAAAATCGGCTATAATAATAATAATGAAATTACAGAATTAAAGACAGTACTCTGGAATGGTAAAGCATGAGTGGTATCACGGGTGTCATATGATAACGTGATGTCCGTAGTGCTTCTTGTATATAAGCGACGGTTACCACTTACCATCAGGCGGGCCGTCAGCTTTTTTGCCATTGCATTTACATTAAAAATTAATCTTGAATGCCGATTTTCTAAAATTTCTAATATTCAAATTATTTTGATTAAACTTGCGAATATGTGTGTTTGGAAAACGAGTTAATTTCTCATAATTTTTTAATGATTTAGACATTATTATCTGTTATTAAATAAAATTTTATTCATAAAAACGATGTCTGATAAATATATTTTAACTAATAATCAGTTTTTGTCCTTTTCATTTAATCTATTTTATTCGTTTAAAAGAAAGGGACAAAATATTAATAGTGAAAATATATTTATAGCTTATAGTTTTATTAATAAAACAGTTAATATAGTTCTAATGAGGTAACTCAATTGAGTGCTATCATATTTTCGACTTAATGTATGACACTTGAGAGTTGAAAATCCCTCGCGTTTGGGAATACGATTTTGATGCCCCGTCCGCCGTTTCTTACGGCTGGACGTAAGTTGATGTGTACTATATTCGTAGTTGTAATGGAGTGACGTCATTACGAGCTGAAACGTTACGGTTACGGGGAAATTAACTAAAAAACGTTTTTGCATTTAGTAGTATAATAGTTAGTAAAACCGGAATAAACCAGTTTGCGTGCTAACACGTGCAAAGTTTGTGTAAAACGTGCACGCACTCGTAAGTAGCGTCAGAAACGTCATTCTCTTTTATTTTCTTATTATTTTCCGATAAACGAGTTTATTGTGTTTTTAGCTGGAGTGGAACCTAAAAATATATATTTTATATATTTTTATTAAAGTATTATTAAAGTATTTGTGTGTTGATTTATATACTGACCGTACACTACAAAAGCAAACCTTAGGTAGGTTTGCGTTTGTAGTACGGTCAGAAAAATAAAAACTCAATATAAAATATAAAATTTGCGTATATTATTTTTGATTTGTTTGCTGACCGTACATTCTACTACAAACGCAAAAACTGCTTTAGGTTGATATCAGTCGGAATGACGTCGCTTCTTTATCATTTCATAGCGAAATGACGTAACTTGACTCGAATAAATTGTAATTTAGTACAATCGAACTGTGTATAATTGGATTTTACGATGCGATGATATTTTAATAATGATCACTTGTGAACACAAAACGGAAGTCACTTTGGTACAAAAATGGAAGCCACTTAAGTCACTTTCGTACAAAAATGGAAGTCACTTAAGTCGCTTTCGTACCCTAGAAAATGGACGTGACACAATTTCTTTTAACATCGTGTTAAATTTAATTAAAAACTATTTTATTTTGGGTGTTTTAAAAAATAAAGTATATCACCAATCAATTATATTCTATCTCCTACAAGAGGAACCATTAAAATCGGTATATATTTCTTTTATAAAAATGATCCTTCATCTTCTATCTAGATAGCGTATGTATGCTAGTTCATGGAGTATAATATAAATGTTGACCAGTATTGCCATATCAAGAGTTATTGTTAAAATATCATTGCCATGTTTATTATTGACATTCAAAAATATGTACATCTCATATATACATCATAAGTGCCTTGATTTTAATGTTAAAAATAAAAATATGTGATTCAGTGTGCTCCTTCGAATTTACTTGTAAAATAAAATTATAACTAGTGTAGTAATAGTAATAGTTGTTGTAATTTTTATTATTAATTATAGAAGAAACTGTCCTATTGAATCTTCCATATTTCTCTCGATGTGATATTTGCTTGATTTAGTTTTAAAATTATGGATGCATGGCACTTGCTTATATAACTATACTTCATATATTTTTTACATTACCTTCTATATTATGTTAATTTAGCCATGAGATATAAAATATAAAGATATAAGTGGTATAAATTCATACATAATCATAATGATTGGCGTTTCTAACAAGACAGACGGACAGACACCCTTTTGCATATATTTTTAATCTAATAAATATATAAACATAATATAAAATTCTCGTATCTCAGTGTTTGTAACAAGTCTTAAAGAGAAACAAAATATGAAGATATAGGTGAAATAATTTGATCAACGTTTGTAACAATATAGACGGACAAGCACCTTTTTGCATATATATTTTATGTATAGAAAATGCTCGTGTCAAAGTGTTTGTAACAAAACTCCTCCAAAACAGATTACTTAGTACAATCAAAATAGTAAATTTGATTTAGATTTGTTAGTTTCCCATACATAGTACTTTGCTAGAAATAAGAATAGAATAGAATAGAAAATCATTTATTTGAATAAAAATCAAATAATATTAGGACCTTCTCTGTCTAACGGTGATCAAGTTTCCGCACTGAATATTTGTGGTCTCACACATACTGCCCCTCCGATCGATCCATTCAAACGGGGATCGATATTACGACGGCCTGAACCGAGGTTCGAACCCCTAGCGGTGCCCTCAGATCAAAGTCGTATCCGTCAGGCGGGAGTTGGCCTTCAGCCGCTCCATAAGTCCTTCCGCGGGTTTGGAGTACCATCTGCACTCACTCCCTATCGTCCGGTGAAGCTGTAAACAACCAACAGCATTAGAGTAGCCCAAAAAAAATCTCATACGTTCTAATTGTAACGGAATTAAACAAAAATAATATAAATACATTAAGTATATAGTTAGTTTTAGCAATTGTCATGCATTCCAAATATATCTATATTTAGGCAGCTTTTATATAGGTAATAATTTAAAATTACTAATTGTATAACCAGAGACTACAGTGTTTTATAATCTCTGGTATGGTCAAGTGAGATTCATGTTTTATGGTTTCAAAATGTTCAGTATACAGCGGTGACAATTATCGATTCATTTATTCTTAACCAGCTACCAGCCTCTGCGTCGCACGGGTGTATATGTATTATACATATAAACCTTCCTCTTGAATTACTCAAAAAACAGCTATCAATCAGGTTTCGGTATCGGTCATATCGGTTTTATCAACTCTGTATATATATCATGTATTTTTTTAGTGTCAATGACCTTCCTGCCAAGGCTATTGCACAATACCTAATAATATCTGTTGCTAAAAACTGCGTTAAAATCCGTTGCGTAGTTTAAAAGAAGAGGCAGCGGAAGCGATTTCATTTTGTAGTATGTTAAGGTGACGAAATTTCAGCGTCTTTTGACCCTACACAAGTTTAGCAAGTTTTGGGATATGAAGGAATGCTGAAATGTAGTTAACCTTAAGGCTAGACGTGTGACTGTTAACATCTGTGGTTCAATGAAGTGTATGTAGGTATGTAATATGAATATTTTAATGTCTATTTAAAATATTTTGTTATTATAATATATTTACTGTGGAATGTAATTTTTATACAATGTCACGTGTATATATATATCCGACGGTTATCACTTTAGAAAAAGCGTCTGATTATTTTCGTAATTAACTGTATTTTTATATCGAACATTAGACTTTATAAATGTCTCATTATAAAACGTGGATCACGCTTGACCGTTTTTATATTTAGTAATAAATGTATGTAATATTTATAATCATAAAAATAAGTGTAAAAATGAATATTAGTAGATGTTAAGTCAAATTGAATAGTGAGTGATTGTGTACAGTCTATAAGATCAATTTCAAACGCCAACAGAATTAATAATTGGAATTAGCAACAACAAAATATAATCAAAATTGAATGTTTGGACAACAAATTGTAAGAACACTTGAATGTTTGCACAACAAATTGTAAGAACACGAATGTTCACACAACAAATTGTAACAAATCCTTGATTGATCGCACAATAATGTTTTTTTTTGTTTAAAATAAGTACTGCATATTGTAATTTTAGTGCAGCTACGTTAATAGTCTTGATATTGATGTTATAGGTATGGGTCCGTCATTGCTAAGAATTGCGCGTCGTAATTTACAAACCTTTGTGTCAATTTTACATATGATTTTCTCTATATTTATATACAATGGTATTTCCGAACCGATACGATATTGAAACCTTTAAGAAAAGAGCATATTCCTTCTTAAGAGGCCGGCAACGCACTTGCGGGTGCTCGTAGGCAGTAATCACTTACTATCAGGTGAACTACAAGCTCGTTCGTCCCCGATGCTATAAAAAAATTGTGATGCCAGAATTGTATATAAAATTTATATAAATATTTTTTTTTATGTAACATAAAAAAAATATATAGTTTCACATGTCACAATTCTTAGTTGTTGAAATCAAATGTAACAAAAAGTAAATAAGAACAGTACAGTAGTATAACATTAATAAAAAAGTAGTTCAAATATCTTTATTAATGTAGATGAGATGAGAAGAACTGGCAAGCAACTCGGCTCGTATTCTTTTCAAATAAATTTTGTACATGTTTACAAATTCCTTTTTTTTTTAATAATTACACA